AAAATTAAAACCCTTTCTTATTTAGACAAAGGGGGGAAATGTTGTGGAATATTACTTTCACCATGTAAAAGTATGTTACATTTGTTTATGCTGCATTTGTTTAGTGATGTAAAGATGTGTTGTGCCTGCCCAAGGCACCTGATTGGTCTAATAAAAAGCTGAATGGTCAATAGCTAGATGGTAGAAGGAGGGCCTGGTGGGCAAAGAGAATAAATAGGAGAAAGAATCTAGGCTCAGGAGGAAAAGAAGAAAGAGAATGTGGGAGAGAGGGAGGCATTAGGGGCTAGACAGTTGACTGACAGACACAGAGTATGACATACAGAAGAAAGGTAAAAAAGTACCAAGGCAAAATGTAGATGAAGACAAACAGGTCAAACTAAGTTATAAGAGCTAGTGGGACAAGCATAGGATAAGGCTGAGCACTTGGAACTAGTAATAAGTCTCTATGTCATGATTTGGGAGCTGGCTGGTGGCCCCAAAAGAAGCCTATTACAACGATGGGACAGAAAGACACACGGTTGTATTAGATTTTGTCACTTTGATCAAATACATGAGGCTTCGATCCATCATAAGCTAGCCTGGCTGCTTTGAGCCCGTGACAAGGTGAGCATCATGCTGGGAGCATGTGGTGGAGTAAAGCGCTGTCCTGTAGTGGCCTAGAAGAGAGAGGAAGGGGCTAGGAGCCAAACTCCCTCCAAGGACTGACTCCTGGGCATTCAAGGTGCAAACTTCGTGGGTCAGAGTGGTGGCTCAGTGACTGCTCTTCTAGAGGAGTCAAATTCCCAGCACCCGCACGGTGGCTCACAACCTCCTATAAGTTCAATTCCAGGGGATACAACACCCTCTTCTGGTTTCAAGGGCAGCAGGCACAAAAGTGTACACAGACAAGCATGCAGGAAAAACAGCCATACACATAAAACAAAACAAGATGGATCAACCATGAAAGAACTGAAGTGACCGGGCAATGTGGAAGAGGAGGAGGCTTCAATGAAGAGCCGCAGGCCTAGCAAGGGTTCTTTCATTATTCCAGTACACCTCCTGAGTCATGCTCAGGGAAGAAAACCCTACAGGGGTATGGCTCTTTTCCTAGTAGCTCAGGCATTCTAGTACACCTCCTGAGTCGTGCTCGGGGAAGAAAACCCTACAGGGGCATGGTTCTTTTCCTAGTAGCTCAGGCATGGTACAACTGTTTTGTTTGGGAGCCAAGGTGAAGATAAGAAGTCACTGGATTGGAGGAAACAGAAACCCAGTCACACGGGGTTAAAAAAAGCCAGCAAACCCAAACAAGGAGGCATGTGGGGATTCTGACATTTTATGGGAACTATGGGGCAGAATGTGTCATACTCTTCCTGACCCCCAGGGATGAATGTAGACAGGCTGTGAACACTGATTAGGGACAGCCTCTCTTCCCTGCCTGCTTCTCTACAAATGTCCACCTTGGCCTGAAGTCTGGCTTTCACCACCTCTCTGTATAAAAGTGCCTCCAAAGAGAAGACATTTTAAGTGGGGAGGGAGAGTGTCCAAAGACTTCCTTGGATCTAACTTCTCTGATCCGTCATTTCTAAGATGCCCAGGAAAGAGAACCTGACTTGTTCCTCCCTGAGCATCACAGCTGTGGTCAGGGAGTAAGGGAGTCTAATCTCAGAGAGGCAAATATTCAGGGTAGTAGATGCCAGAGACCCCATGCACTGTTCTGGAGAGTTATTGGTAGTTCTGGTGAGCTGGGGCTGGGAGCACTTCCTTTTTCCTTCCTGTCTCACTCTGCTGCCCCTTAGATGATACACTGGCATCTATGTTTCATCCTTCTATGCTCTTATTAAATCCATAAATAATGACTTAATCTCTGAAGCTCTGTCCCGAGAGTGTAGATGTTAAAGAGGTGGAGGAGGGGGCAGGAGAGATGCCTCCGCAGTTAGAGCACTGGCTGCTCTTTCAGAGAACCTGGATTCAATTCCCAGCACCCACATGGGTGCTTAGAACCATTTCTAACTCCGGTTCCAGGGATCCAGCTCCCTCTTTCGGATTCTGTGGGCACCAGGCATGTAACTGGTGCACAGATGTACACACAGACAAAACACACATACACACAACAGAAATTAAAAGGAGAGAGAGAGAGAGCATTTACCAGCCTTGGTGGCTGCAGCAGAGATGGTCTTTTCCTCTCCCAGGCTGCTGGGACCAAGAGGATGCCAACAAGCTGAACAGGTCTCATCCTCCTGCTGAAATGGTAAGCTTGCCAAGAGCATGCTGCAAAGCAGCTAGACAGGCCAGATAGAAAGCCCAAGAGACCCTAATCTAAAGGCCAGGAGGCACACTAGGGCAGGCTCAGCAGTTCTCAAAATGAATGTGTTTTGAACGAAGCCAGCTAGACAAACAGGGAGCCGTGAGAAGCCTCAGGAACAGGCGCTTGTACAGGGACAGGAGTCACAAAGGGGTCTGGAAAATCTGAGGCTGTTATGGGGCTCTGTTTAGCTCAGAGCCCCATCACGGAGGAGGCAGTGACAGCTCGATCAATGTCATCCCTCTATCTTTGCCCTGCCCCTCCCTACCACCTGGGACTCATGGGCCTCCATTAGCAGAAACAGACAAGCATTCCAACTTCTCTGGCAGGCACCAAGGAGGCAAGCACATTGAAAACAAACAGGAGAGCTTGACCGGTAAGGCAGGGAGTTTGGGGGCCTGGGGTGGGATGAGAAGACCCTCCCAACCCCGACTCATGGTGGCAGAGCACAGCTGGACCAACAGTTGGAAGGACAGTGTCTCGAGACTGCAGCCCTTCCTGGTTTTCAGGGGGCACTCTCCTGTGTCCTGGGATATGGGAAGATGTGGAACTTCTCTGCAAGCTTGCAGCCTCGCTCTTCTCCACTAGGGTCTTTGACCTCCATGCTCTTTTGGTCAGCTACAGAGGTCATGGCCTGTTCCAGCCAAGGGAAGGCCCAGGAGGTCTGGGGGATGGGAGGAAGTAAGGCTGTTTCTGATGGGGTTCAGCTGCCAGACTGTATCCTTGAGCAACAGGAGTTTAGTTTAATGAATTTGGTCAGTTCACAGAATCTGCCCACGCAGTACATCTCACCTTCTGAAAGACTTCCAAAATAGGTCCACCCACCGTGCAAGAGACAAAAATGAAAAAAAAAGAAAGAAAGAAAAAGAAAAAGGACCAAGTGAAAAGGCCCCAGAGGCCTCTGCCCTTTCAAATAAGTCTATGCAAGCTTTTCCAAGGAAATTTTAAGATAAATCAACAAATGCAAAAGCCAGCTGCTTTTTTTTTTCTTTCCCATTAAGGATTCTGGGCAAAGAAAGATGTCACAAGTACACACCTGTGTGGGACAGGAGGACCAGTCTGTAGAAAATGGATGAAGCATTAAAAATACAATCCACGCAATTGTTCCGGCTGATATTGACATACACCATCTGAGCTATTCTCATTAGGGTCATCAGAAAGCCACTCCTATATCAAGGAAACCCCACAGACCCAGCTGCACCCTCTGTGGTTTCCCTCCAGGCACACGGTCACACCGGGAAGGAGACAACTTCTTATACACGCGCAGACAGTTACACAACACAGAGTTCCAGACAGTGCCCTCCTCCGTCTCTCTCACACACATAATCGCACACAGTTGCATGCAGCCTAATAGCCCAGGCCGTCTCACACTTGCTCAGACTCACAGCCATGCAGAGAGGCACACGAGCACATCACACAAGCCACAGTACCACACTGCACCTTCCATCCCCTGGTCCTGCGCTCGAGGCCTCCACAGAGAGCTAGCTCCCTCCTCCACAACCCTCCCCTCCTGCGTGCCCTGCATTGCAGCCAGATGTTCCGTGGGCAGACCCCTCTATGGGCTGACAGGCAGTGATTACTGTTGCCAGCCCCACATTAGGAGAGAATTGAATGGGAGAGAGCCCCCTCCCGCCTTAGGCTCCCTACAATAGCGCCTTTGTGAGGTGCTTTGCTGCCTGCCTTTCCTCTTCCTAACCAACCTACGTCAGGAGCAGCTCTGCCTGAGGAGAGAAGAAAGACAAAAAGAGGATCACGGGCCCTGACTGATCCACCCCATTCTGGGGTGGAGGGAGGGCTGTACTTTGGAGAGGAGGCTGTGTTCCTGTCTCTCCTTCCGCCTGGTAAATAATCCAGAGGGCTGCCTGAGGTAAACTCCCCCACAGACGCCAGGGCTTCCATCCATCAGCCAGCCTTAAGCCTGTGAGTTGAACATTGGATGGGGCCTGGGAGAGGGATCTTATGCAGAGACCGGCAGGCCCCCAGAGACAATCCAAAGCCTGGTTCCTACAGTGCCTCCCGGATTGCCTCCTGCAAGCTGGTGCATATAGTTAAGCTATCAGGACCAGCAAGGGTTAAGTTTCCAGGACTCCAGGGCTGACTTTAGTGGCTTCCAGGACTGGGGCAAGAGGGTGGGAAGACGAGGGTGAAGAGAAAGGGATATGTTGGGTAACTGGTGAGACCAACATCTGGGATGGTCACTGCCCCTCCTCCTTGCCCAAACCGCAGACGCTGTGGCAGCAGGAAAATCAGAGCGGTTCAGACCAAGGATTGTGCAACCCAGACCCGGGAAGAGCCAGTGCTGGAGGTGGGAGTGGGGACTTGGGCTCAGAGACAGAACCCACTTCAGAGGTGAGACTAGACCCTCTTGTATGCTGCAGGCAGGTTCCTGCACTAGGCTTCAAAGCCAGTAAGATTCACTTTCTGGTTCAAAATCTACCAAGAGCTGGAACTGGAAGCCTTGCTTTTGCTCCTGGGCTCCGGTGTCCAGCAGTCAGAGGGGCTGTGCCATTGGTGGTTTGCTGTGGCTGCTGTGCTGTACGGTGGGCGTGGAGAAGGAGGCATTTCGTCCAACCTTCTAAAGCGCCCCACAGTAAAATGTGTAACTAGAGAAGTTCCCGAGGGAGCGAGGGGAGCCCAGTCAATCCCTAACGCAACAGGAGGCAGAAAACAGCCACAGGGACTCTGATCTGAGAGCTGCCCCAAACACACACAGGAGAGGAACGGTGGGTTTTCCTTTTAATGCAAAATGTTGCCATACAAAGTGATTTGGGGAAAGCCCCCTTCTTCCCCACACTGGAAGGGTGAATGAAGGAGAGAAAAGTTGTCTCCTTGAGTTCTTCTCTCCCTTGGGTCATTCTCCTGTCTGGGGTTGACCCTATCCAAAGGTCAGGGTTCTGGGTTTGGGACTAAAATTTATGGACACAGAGCAGGAGTGAAGCTTTAGGGTGTTTGCTGTTTTGGTTCTAAAAGGTTACTCAAGATCTGGAGTTCTGCATAAAACAAGGGGGCTAGGAAAATTTGGTTGTTGTTGTTGTTTAAAAAATTAGGGGGTATGAGCCACCACTGGCCTTCATTTGAAGAAAGGCCAGCAGGAGATTTAATAAGAATATAAATGTGTGGGGATAGGAGAACCAAAAGCACAAGGTGCTTACACTTCCTCCTCTTTCTTCCTCATCTCCAGCTTGTAGACGATCTGGTAGCCATCATCCCAGGCATACAGCTGGCGCTCACGGGGGTTATAGCGAAGGCTGGCATGGGCACCATAACGGCGTGGAAAGTAAGAGAGTGCGGCCCGTTCAGGGGTCAGCGTACCGCTGGCGTCAAAGGAGCACTGAATGCGGGCCCGGCTGGCTGGGCGGGTGTTGTAGACTACGTACAGGGTCCCGCAGATGACAAACGCCGCCTCTGCGTTCTCTCGGGGACATGGCGTGTCCCACTGCTGCTCCGTGTCAAGCGTTTGCGGATCTAACTTGGCTAGACACAAATGCCTGTCATCGTCCCGAGTGGCATAGACAGCCCAAAGGCCCTCCTCGTCAGCTGCCAGGTCAATATAGGTGTCTCCTGTCAGCCCATAGGGGGGTATCAGCTTCTCCGCAGGGAACACCGAGCTGTCCACCACGGTTCGGTTTGCCAGGTGAAATTTGATCAGCTGAAGAGTATCCTCCAATTCAGCACCCCCGCCGGGCCCTCCAGGAGGCCTTCGAGCATAATACAGGAAGCCGCCATACACCAGCTGTCCTGTGCCTACCCAGGGGAAGGGCACCCGAATTCGGGAAGCTTTCCGGGCAGCCATGGCAAGAGTGAAGTCTCGCAGCCTTGGGAAGACGAAAGCTGTGTCATTCTGTGTACCATCTAACACGTAGATCTTCTCTGCTGGCCCCAGTGGATCCTTGGTCCATAGACCAGAGGTGCCACCAAACCGCTTCAGGATCTTCATTGACCTCACCTGAGAGATGGTGTAGCCACAGTCTGGTGAGAAAGAAGAGAGGCACAGGAGGATACAGAGGCCAAGAGTTAGATAATCTATATCAGGACACCCGAGGGCGGGCCATCTGAAGAACAGGGAGACATGTCCCTATGTGTGGGTTCACTCATGGAGGGTTAAGACGTAGGGGACCAATAAGGCATGGGCCTCTAGAAACTCTTTATAGACTTGTCGTTAGGGGTTTCCTCAAAATGTATTCTGGAAGACGGAGCCACGGCGGCTTTGGACAAGGAGAGAAGCAGGGAAGAGGAGTTCTGAGATTGGGTCTCTTCTGAGATCTCTTACCTGTCACCATGTCATACTTCTCGTTTCTTCGGCTCTTGCCTTTGGCCCCAGGGCCTCCAGTCGCCTTCTCATCCAGCTCCACACAGGGCAAAGCGGGGTTCTGGGTCTCCAGATAGTCCACTTCCCGTTCCAGACGGTCCACTCTCCCCGAGATGGTGTCTGCCTCAGTTCTGAGTGCTTCGCGCTCCTTCTCTGCCACCTCCAGTAGGGGCAGCATCTTGTTCTTGAAGTCCCGCAGCTCGGCAGCCTGCCGGCTACTCTGGTCCTGGCACTGGGCCAGCCGTTCCTGAAGGGATGGGGGAATCAGAGGGAAGGCAGGCTGCGGGGTTAAAACTCCCAGGCAAGCAGAGGCCCAACCAGGGAGACAAGACTTGGAAAAGGAGCACTTAGCCGGGCTCTGTGCTCCCACAGCAAAGTCGTCAGGCGCTAACCCATCCAAGGAACCTGGCTTAATTCACCTAAGAGTCTTCATTCAGCCTGTGCTGTCTGTGATCTGAGCCTCCAGGAAATCAAGATGCTACAGACTTCAAACTGTTTTAAAGGGGGTGGACATGGGGTGCCGGGAAGAGACGGACAGGAAGTTGGAGGCAGATTTTACCTGGGGAAACTTGAACACTATAGCCAGTTAGTTCCGAAATGTAGCCCAATTCTGTCCCCTTATTCCACTGTCCCCTTATTCCATCTAGTGCCGAGGGAAAAGTGTTGCATTTATTTGCTGTGCAACTGTTTGATGTTGGGGGAAACAGGCGTCTGTAATTAGGAGAGTCCTCGGCACTAAGCTGTGTATTCTCTGCAGCCTCTTCCCAGAGCCCGATCTTGTCACTCCCGGAGCCCTGATAACTAGTTGCACCAACAGATGTGGAATCCTTCTGGGCTAGGCTAGAAGAGAAACGTATCCCTCACCTCTAAGGCAGCTAGTCGGCGTTCCATGTACTCCACAAGGTGGTGCTGCTGTCCCTGAAGGGGTCCCGTCCATGACAACAAGAAGAAAAGCAGCAGAGGAGCACTGGGCCCCATGGCAGCCTTAAGTGGGGCCAGAGTAGGAGTGTGCCTTCGGCCTCTTTCCCTCCAGCCCGTTAGCTTTGGGGGCGGGGTGGGGGGCGGCGCCTCCTCTTTCTGATCTCCGGGTGTCTCTCACTACTCTGGAATGCGTTCAGTCTCTTTACAACCCCCCACCCCCTCCTTCCCGCCCGGATTGATCAAACACAGATGGCCCCTTTGCATGGTCGCCAGAAGCCTTAACCAGCAGCAGCTTAGGTTTGGAAGCTCCTCGGGAAGGGAAAGAGATGGCAATCTGAAGGCAGAGGCCTTCTGGACAGTCACAGGGGAAAGGAGGAAGCGGTGGGAGGCTGAGACCCCGGGAAAACTCAGCAAACTCCACTAGTTTTAGGAGAGGGCTCCCAGTGCTGGCTTAGTAAGAGCCCGACAACCTTCATTAATCCTTCCCTTCTCCAGCAATAACAGAATGAATTTTCTGCCTTGTTCAGTGAAGCCAGAAACACAGAAGAGGTTTGGGGAGGGGGGCCCCGGGCTGGGGGAAGAGGGCAACGTGAAGTCAAATTTCCACAGCTCATTGGCGCCACCTTGTGCTAAGCACCTAAGGCCATTGTTCATGATAAATAGAAAAATCAGAGTAGGACTTCACCCATGTGGAAAAACTACCCAAGCAAGCCAAGTGGGTTGAATTTGAAGGCTTTTCTTTAGAATACAGGACTCTCTATAGAGTACTGTGTCTCTGATTTAGCCCAAGGAAAGAAATGCAGAAGATAAAGCAACAATAAAACCCGAGGTTGTTTTGTTTAACTAGAGGACTTAAATTAAGACCTGAGAGCTATTCAACATGACTTTCCAGGTATTCCCTTGCCAAAACGGGAGGGTACAGCAGGGACAAGCTAGTTTACATTCATGGATACAGGGAGCGTAATCTGAAAAAATACAATGTAGCTAAATCAGAACATTCTGACTTTCCTATCACCGGAAGAGACAGACTTTTAGTCGCCTCTCTTGGTTAGGGTTCAGTAGGGTATTTCTAAGTATTCTCATTTCTTTTTTTCTTATTTTTAATGTTATGTATACTTTTGGATGGCTGTATACAGGTATGTGCCTGTGATACAGGTGCCTGTGGGGACCAGAGGAGGGCACCAGATCTTGCAGAGCTGAGTTACAGGAGACTGTGAGCACTGAGTTACAGGAGACTGAGAGGGGCCTGACATGGGTGCTGAGAACTGAACTCTACAAGAGTTTTCCACCCTCAACTGCTAAGCCGCCTCACCAGCCCCAGGGTTTCTCACGTCTACCCAGCTAAAACTGCAAATCTGCCCAAAGTAAATTAATGGGCCAGTGTAAAGTTAGGCAGGAACATACATCAAAAGAAGACAAATAAACATAATTTACTCAGGGACCTGCAGTGATTAATCTAGACAGATTCCTATTTCTTTGCATGAGAAAACTTTGGGATCCAAGAGAAATTTTGTTTTTGATCAGAGGTTTGCCTTGTTTTTAAAATTTATATTTTTATATTTCTATATAGGTGTGCATGCATGTGCCTAAAGAGGCCAGAACCCCTACAGCTAGAGTTAAAACCAACTGTGAGGCATCTGATGTGGGTGCTGGGAATGGAACCCATTCCTCCCTAAGAGCAGCAAGTGCTTTACCGCTGAGTCACCTCTCAAGGCCCAGGTTGTTCTTACAGAGCGGTCAAGCTCCAACCCAGCCACGGGAGGGAAACAAAAAAATCTTTCTGCAGCTCTTGCTTTCACTCTCCTGCTCTAAACGTTTGGTGACACACACTGGGAGAGAAGTTAGGTAGCTCATCTCAAAAGCCATCTGCCAGAGTTAGGAGTCCAGGGCCCTGGAGACACTTTACTCTTGGGAAGTATTTCTCACAAAACTGTATTCATTTCCATCACAGAGTCCTGTACAAAGATTTCCTAATGTAAGAGCATCCTACTCATGCTCAAACAGAATGTTTAGTCACTCCAAACATGTCATTAATCGAACCCCTTTACGCCCTAACTAGGAAGTAAAAACAGCCACAGTCAGAAAATTTACCCATTTTATTGATGCATTGCAATTGCTCTACTTTTTTACCATATTATGTAGAAAATACTGAAAATACAAGCTACTTTGTAAAACCAAAGACAGACATTGAATCCAAAGATAAACTATGTTTTACACAATGGACCCTTTTCCCATAGTTAGTATTAAATTTTAAATAGCTATTTCTTTTGTTAAAATGATTATTTTACATACTCCCTAAGTACACCTGCATTACAAACAAAGCTCAGTAATTCTCAGAACTACCTGTTTCTAGAAGCTTGTTGTAAAAGGAAGCACACAACCAGGAAAGGGAAAACAAAACAAAACAAGTTTAAATCACACACAGTAACTAGCATATCAAATACATTTAATAAAGTAGGAATTCCATTGCAATATCAAGGATTCAAAGCAGAAATACTAACATTACATATAATGTACATATAATGTACTGCTACATATAGTGAGATTATTTTTCAAGCTCAATTGAAACCACACATTATATAAAGTTTAGCAACACAACCATGGAGACATGGAGACATGCTGCACCATCCATCAGTTAAAAAAAAAAAGTCAAAATACAAAGCAGGCTTGGCCATTCCTGTCACTGAGAGGCAACTTCATTTCCTATCCTAAAACAAACCATCTCAACTAATAGATCTCTGCATAATAAATAATGCAGAATAAAGCACACGTTTCTGTGCTTGCCTGGCGAAGGGCAGTCGAGCTAAGCCCCTCTAGTGGAGGATGGTGGATGAGCAACCACAAAGGCAGGCTCCGAATGGCCAGAATTGTTTGAAATGGGGTGCTTCTTCCTGGGTTTGGCATCTCAGCGGAACCTGACAACGAGCTCCAACGAGAGACTGGGAACTCTGGAGTGATTATGCGTCCTGGTGTGCCTGGGTGGCTCTAGGAACCCTTTCCAATTCCTCTCATCTGGAAAGGGAGAAGCTGGAAATGCAAGTTCTAAAAGAGGGTTTAAAGCCTTAAGCTAGTCCAAGGTCAGGCAATACTGACCCAGGTCAGAGGCTCACTATATTCATGGGGCTTCCTTCCATGCCAGCAGGGCAGACAGTCAATGTTTAAGCCCCGGGACAGAATGGATGTAAAACCACATCCAGCATACACACTCAGCAGACTGACAACCTCAAAGCCTGTCAAGTCACACTGCTAGCCAGATGTTAAAGGCGATGATGTGAACACTTAGGCGTTCTCTTTTCCCGTGGATTGAAGACACCCATCTTCAGTAACTGCTTATTGGATGAGGGACAGGCTGGGGGTTGGTCTGTTTTTCCCCCTGCATCTCATTCCTATAAAACCAATAAATTTTGTCCCTTGTAGAGAGGAAATATAAAGTACAAAAATGTTCCGATTAGAAACCAGAACTGTATTTAAACAAGAAGACCAGAATGCTTGGGGGAAAAGGAGGCACAAAAATCACACACACTGACTTACACTGTTTAACACTAGTGACAAACTACACGAACGCGTGGTTGTCTCAACAACAGACTGCTGAATGTACAGCTTAATATGATAACTAAAGAACAGACAGAAAATACACCATGTTCCTGGCAGGCTGTACTGACTACCTGCCCCGTCCTGGAAACCCCTACTCCCCATGATGAAGAAACTCCAAATTCGCTGACAGCTCCTCGATGTTTCACCCGGTTCAGAGATTGCTGACCAGGCTCCATGAAATCTCCCATCTCCATCCTGCACCTTCCTGACACCATCTCCTTACAGAACCAATCCCAGACTTATTACTCAAATGTAATCTTCGATTCAGGTGGAACACATCTGTAGCTCAGGGTTAACCTTCTCCCTGCCAATCCTTCATGGGCAGGGATGTCCTCATCCCCAGTACCTTCAACCTGACCCTAATCCATGGAGGAGTTGAATACTAGGACAATCTCACAGCTTGAAGGGCCCCAAGAATGTACATGTTGTTACAAAGAAACCTCAAAAACCTTGGTGATTCAAGAGGCTTTGGTTTCTATTTAATATTCTTCACTGATTCAGAAGCCTTTCTGTGAGCTTCTTGTCACCAGTGGTTTCTACAAAAGCCTCCTCATAATATGGGGACATGTTAAGCATTACAACAGGCTCTTTGGTATAAACACATCTGTTACATCCTTTTAAAAAAAAAAACAAGTTTACTAGTAATGTTTACTAGTTTACTAGTAATGTCACCTATGCACAGGAAGGTCTACTGCATGGGAAAAGAGAAAAAGAAATCCCATCCTAAGTGATTGCACGTACTTTCAAATATGCATATTTAGTACTGGCTTCACTGTCTCCCCTGCTCCCTGAACTCTTACGGAAGCCAGGTAGCAAGGCACAGAGAGAGAGCCACATAGGGGAATGCTTCCATGAGAACTGAGCTAAGGATCCAAAATGAAACGGGACAGAAGTGGCAGTAAAGAAGGAAGGCTGCTGTTTTATTTTTCTCTGTTGGCAGGGAGACTGAGAACAATGCATTTACACAACACAGCTACTAAACCTGTTCTGTTAAATCCCAGTGAACAGCGTGGGGTCCTCTGGGGCTTGCTGGTCCATCCTAAGGCAAGCTCACTGTAAACTCTATTAACCACTACATTATCATATAAGGCACTACAATAAGGGAAGAGAGGAGTAGAGGAAGGAAAAGACACACACTGAACAACTCCTCACCAGACACACCTGTGCAAAACAATCCCAAGGGTCTCCTCTCCTTGCAGGCAATGCCCCTGCTCACTCAGCACTACAGTAATATGCTCTAATATAATTGCAATTAGTTCACATACATTCCAACAAGTATCAGTTCATTTTGGTTTAAATACAATGGAGACATAATCCATCTCCGGGGTAACACTGGAGGATCAGATACACACTAAATACACAATTCAAGTGTAATCACTACACAGTCGATTACAAATAACATTTTGGGTTAGAGGAAAAATTGTTATATTTTTCTAATCAATATGTACATATTTAATTATGCAAAATATTAAAACACCACCATTACAAAACTTCTAAAATATCTTTAAATTCAGTAATAAACTTTTAAAATATTTTTTGCAGTTCCTACATGCACTTATTATATAAGTCTTAGTAAGAGAGCATTCAATTTGCTGTTGGCATACAAAGGAAGCTACTTGAAAGTATAAAAGCTATACACAACTTATCTGATTTTAGTTCTTTAGCTTTCCCCTCAGATAAGTCACATGAAACAGAAGGAAGAGATGAGAAAAACACAGAGGTGTGTTATTGAAAATTCATAGAAATCTTGGGCAAAGCTCACCAGTGCCAGTATCTCTTCCTAGAGAGAGATTCTTCATACTATTGTATGCAAAACAAAACAAAACAAAAAATCCACCATGCACATTTCACTGGCTTTTCTAGTAGAATTTAAGAATTAAGTTGAACCATAGAGAGGAGGACTTTAAAAAATAATCCAAGAAAGAATTTATGGTGCTTCGTTGAAAAAGAATCCTTGGTGGACATAGGCCCTCTCACACCGAGGTTCAGAAAGTGGTGGGCTGCCTTTTTTAACATTACTCTGCAACGAACACAGAAGCAACTGCAAACATTTCAATACTTAGCCACTTTTGCCAAAAGTAGTAATAATTGCCCAATAATGAAATACAACATGAAAAAAAAAACTAAATCACTTTAAGTTTCAATATGCCATTAGCAAAGACCAATTTTTGAGTAAAAATGACAGAAGTACAGCCTTGAAAAGGCTGCTTGTAAAATAAAAGGCAAGAAGTCTTGGTTTTTAAACAAACAAAAAGTAATGACTTTTCTCATCTGTTACATTTCAAATCTTTCTATTAGTATTTTTCCTCTGACCAGCAATCTTAATAAAACAAAGTTAAGTAAAGAAACGCTTCACTTGTTTTAAAAGCATTTATAGAAATAAAGTTAAAGAGACTAAATGTATGTCAGAGGATAACATCAGAATGATCTTTCTTCCTTGGTGACTGCAGAAGATGGGCTTCTCAGCTCTTCCAAAGTCCAAAAATGCTGTCACAAGAATAAAGAATTAAAAAACAGGGCAGACTTGGGAGATGACAACAAAGCAGTCAACACCGAGAGCAAAGCCTTCTGCTCCAGTGGGCCCTGCAGAACAAGCTGCGGGCTAGGAACCTCCATAAGAAGACAATGGAGGTGTTTATGAGCCCATTAAGAACTCAGGGCCAGGAGCAGGCAGCCATGAAAGCCTCCCTGGTGCTCATCAACTACAAATAAGAATACTGACTGATCTTGGTAGGACTCAGCGGGTATCCAGTGTAAATTGTTGAGCCTCGGGAAGACCCAATGTAGGACTGAGTAGCAAACTGGTGTTGGTACTGAGCAGGGGCCACGCTGGCAGAAGTGAGGAGGCTAGGCCCAACACTGACAGGAACCTGGTGCACCAGAGTGCTAGGGTGGGTGGTATAAGCTGCAGCATGCCTTGAGGAGCCCTGCGGGGAGAAAAGATGAGCAATGGAACTTGTGGAACCAAGTGCAGCGGCAGAAGTAGGAGCAGCATACGTATACAGGTGAGGCTGGCTTGGCAGGTGAGCAGGGGCTGGGGCCAAGTGTGGGTGCCCCGTCGAGTGCAGTGGGCTGCCATGCTGGAAGGCGTAGGGGGCTTGGGAGAGTGGGGCCACAAATGCCTGCTGTCTGCGGGGAGCAGGGTTGCTGCTTCTTTCCTGCGAGGTTGGAGCTGACGATGACTGCTGGTTCTGGAAGGAGGAAGAAGGGAATGAGGAATCTTGAGGTCAGTCTGGTTCACGGCACCAAAGGCCTTGAGGTTCTGATGTGTACTGTTTCAGGACTGCCTTGGAACAAACTGGCAATCAATGCTGTTAGAAGATAGCCAACTATGCCTCTGCCTTTTGGAAGAACAGATCCTAACTCTGTTCAAGAAAGCAACGGTTTGCTCCTACGTATGACAGTATGAGAGGAAGTGGAGAATCAAGTTCACAGGGGTGTCAATGCCTGCATGTTAGTAACTTAACACGCCCTATCCTGGAATCAGTGGTTTTTCTTTAACCTGCCTTGCTGTTTTCTTTTGCTCTCCTCTAAGATCTCCACAGGCCTCTTAAAGTGTGGAACCTTGCGTGCACACACTGACTCCATTTCCATTTGCACCTCCATGTGTTCTCCACTCTCTCCCACACACAGCTAAACCTCATGCTGATACCACATGAACACCAAAGTTTTAGGTGAGAAATGGAATAGAGTACCCCTTACTATCCCATCAGAAGATCACATGGCAGGGCAGGAGATGTTCCAAACTCTAGGAACAGGCAGGGTTAGACCCAGCTGACTTAAGTGGCTTCTCTGTCTTGACTCAGGTAAACAGTATAAGGCTCCAGTTATATATGGCCTGGAGACACGGAAGAGAATTTGGTCCAAAGCATGGATGGTGGTGCAGTGCATCGCCAACGCACTCACAGATCAAATGAGAGACACAGCACATGCAGGTATGACGCAGGCACAGAACACCAGGTGGTCGACACAAAAGGAGCTTCATTTGGCTTTATTCAGCAGTCCAGCCAGAAGCAAGGTTCTCCAGAGAGTAACAACAGGGGAGAACTCAAACAGAAGGTAGCAGCCCCTAGCGCTTACCTGGCTAAGGTTGAGTGGCTGCACTGCGCTGGTGCCCCCTCGTTGAGCTCGGTACCCTGTGGGGGTGATACAGCATCCAGATGATTGCCCACTCACTGAGGCCACTGGCTTGGTCTTACTGCTAAGGAGACCTAAAAAATGGATCAAGCATTAGCATCATTGCCCTAACCTTAGGGTATCCTGTAAGTCCACATTTGTAGTTTGTAAGAGTTAAGGTCTCAGTATCCTTATTTCCTCAATTACAGTTGTGCCACAACAACAAACTGTACTTTCCATCCCTTCTCTGTCTTTCCACAAAGCCCACAAAAACCCTTAAATGGTCACTTAAGTAAAATTATTTAGTCTCCTATTACACAGAGGGCGCACACGGTATCCACAATAAACCTATACTTTTATGCAGGAATGGGGTTAAATAAAAATGACAATGGGGAACTCAGAAAGATATTTAAAGGTTCAAAGGGTCTAAGATGAAGGCAAAATTCTATCCTTTGGGGTATGTACTGCCTTCACACTGCAAGAGATTAAAGAATGATAGAATATAAAAGTTGGCTTTTTTCTGTGTTTCTGGTAGGAAAACTGGACTGTGGATTATATTATTAGGAATTAATATTATTCATGTATAGCATTTATATTCCTAATAATTACATTCAGAAACCTGGTATCAGTATGTTCTACCTTGTCTCAAGGCAGCTGACTACCCCTATGGAGGAGAAGCATACTGACTTAACACAAGTTCTTAAATTAGAACCCTTTTAAGGCCTATAAGCAGTAGGTAGCATAACCCATAAATACTATTTGTGTGTAGGACACAGATGGCTATTCTAACACCAAAAGCCATCCCTCCCATTCTGCTGTGGGATATTTGATCACACTTTGAACCTCAAGTTTGCATTTGTGTTGATTAAATAAAATTGACCTTGGGTCAGGAGGCTGAGTTAGCAACCAGCTGACAGAGGGCATAGAGCAGAGGGCATCCAGGAGAGAGAGAAACATACAGGAAGTAGTAGGGTGGAGTTTGGAGTGGCACAGGTTTTTCTGGTTTGGTGGAGTGGAAGCAAGGGGCTATCGGAGATGCTGGCAAGGAGAAAAGGTCAGCCTCTGGGCTCGCAGGTTTTCACCACAGCCTTTGAATTTTGAGTCTTATTTATAAACAGAAGGATAGATTTTTAGTCAAAGCTACCTTTAGCTGCAGCAACAGAGCCAGTGCCAGCGGGAACAAACTTCCCGGAAGGCTGGGTCTGAGCAGCCAGGCCGCTGCTAGAGAAGCAGGCTGTGGAGTTGCAATGCTGGCTGAAACAGCAATAGATTAAGGCCCAGTCACTGTGCCGAAGCTAAAACAACACCCTTCCTTTGCAATGAAGTTGCCCATAGGAAGTTGTTGCCTAACAAGACTACCTTTCCTGGGCCTCTCTGCATCTAGAGGTTAAGACAGGTTTGTCTCCTGCAAACTTCTCATAGGATGCTAAGAATTCCAAGGTTCTGGTCCTATTTCCATGCAAGCCTAGCAATCAGGGACACTTGCAGTGGGAAGTCATATGAATATAAGTAAGCTTCTGTTATGAAATCAGGATTTGTTACTGAACAACTAACACAGTACCCAACAGCAAAAATCGATGGAAGTAATTAGGTAAAAATGAAACTAACAAAGTATCACCGCTATGACTGAAAGTCTAAAGGGCATGTTAAAGTCATTTTTAAGAGATTTATTTTATTTTTAAGCATGTGTATGTATGTCTATGTTTGAGGGTGCCCAGAGTCCAGAAGGTGGTGATTTCCCCTACAGCTGGAGATAAATAGGTAGTTGTATGTTCCTTGATGTGGGGCTGGGAATCAAATTCAGGATTCTGGTAGAACAGCAAATATCCTTAACCATTAAGCCGTCTCCAGCTCATGGTCATCATTAGTATTACTAAATTCTTATAAATTAAACCTATTCTAGATCATCAAATTCAAATCACATGTAGCAGGCCAAACTATTTACTCGGTTCTTCCTGCTACTTAAGATATGTCTTATCAACTTTTCCCACTAGAGATGAATATATCTAAGATATTATACTGGCACCAAACACAACCTTATTTTCATATTAATCCAAGCAAATAAATGTAGGAAGATAAATTGATGCAAACAAACTCTGCTATTATGAATAACTGATTTCTGAATTAATCACTGTTTAAGAATACCTATGCTTAGTCTTAACCACTGGCATAGTTCAACTAAATAGTAAACATATAAACATCCAAGGAAAATTCAACTCTAACAGCTAAGACCCTTTTTACCTGAGGTCTGGGTTGCTACAGTGCAGTCGCCAAGTTGAGTTTTCAGTGGAGGCACAATGATGGTCCGGGTGCCAGTGCCGTCTGTGGCAGTTCTGCCAGGTCCTTCCAGAAGTGACCCACTGTTGCCCCGGAGAGCACTTAGAGTGTCCGTGGAATACGGGCTGCTCAGGGAAGAGTCAGAGTCTGGAGAATCATTGACAGTAACATAACTGATGACATTAGACCTCGCCTTCAGGCTCGAGCTGAGGAGAAGAAAATGCAGACAATTATAACTGCTCGTTTTGGCAATGTGTCCTACATGGTTCTCTCCTAATGGTAACAGCAGTAACCACAGCAGCAAATGGCTAAGAAGCATTTATTCTGTATTTTCGCATACTATACAAACCAGCGAATCTTTCCAACCCTCAACAATTGGCATTATTAACCCCATTTTGTAGATATGGAAATTAAAACATAGTCCAGGGATTCATAAAGGTCACACAAAGAATAAATGGTAAAGATAGCACTCAGACCCAGAATGCAAAGATTTTAAAGTCTACAACTAATCCATGACGCTTCTTAGCTATTCTTGTTTATTTTCTCTCAATAATATTCTTCAAGCACTGCTTTTTCTCCTTTATCGTTTTCTTAGACTGAAATGTTCCTGATGTTATCTTTACTCTGCCTTTTTACTTTAGGTTTTGTTTTTGTTTCTTTGAGATAGAGTCTTGTTATGTAGCAGAGTATAGCCAGAAACTCAGAATCCTCTTGCCTCTGCTTCCCAAATATTGGAATAACAGGCGTGAACTGTACTACCATGGCCAGCTTCACTATGTTTTTGAAAAAGATTCCTTTGTGATTCTCACTTTGCCATTTTCAGCTTCCTTATTTTTTAATAGAATTGGCTTCAGTCAAAGAAATCATACTGGCTATATTTCATACATAATTTTTGCCATTACTCTGTTTTCTCTTCCCCAAAGCATTACAATGGTCACCTTCAAAATCAGACTTGCAAGTTTATCATCTCTCATATAGTACTTTTGAACAAAGGCCCAAAATGCTTTCTAATTTTGCTTTTCTAAGTTTATTCAAATTTCACTTAATAGGCTGGGGCTATGGCTCATTAAGAGTGTGTGCTGCTCTCTCAGAGGTCTGGAGGTTTCCAGCACTGAAGTCAGGCAGCCTTAACCACTGGAACTCTAGCTTCAAGGGGTCCCATGGCTCCTCCAGCCTCCAGAGGAACCTGAGCAGAAATATAAAATTTTTATTTCATTTACTTATTTTTTTTATTCATAGATTTTTAAGGCAGGGTCTCACTGAGTAGTAGCCCTTTGGCTGGCCTAAAAATTGCAATGTAGACCAGGTTGGCTTTGAACTCCTCATAGAGATCTGCCTGCCTCTGGCTCCTAAGTGCTGTGATTAAAGACATGTGGCACCACATCCAGAAATAAAGCTTTAACCCTCAGCTATAATTCTGTAACACTTCTTAATTTAATTTCACATGTGAATCGTAGGTAAAAGGTCACACCTAACACCAAAAGCTCATGGAAGAACATAACACAGACCAACCAGGGCATTAGCCATTCACACTAAGAGAAAGGTATGGCACATAGTTCCTAAACTCCCGGGTTCCCTCTCAGTATAAGCTGCCCACTTGATGATGTGACTTAAGTGAGGTGTCCCCCATAAGCTCACTTGGTTCCCAGTTGGTGGCAATGTGTGGGAAGGGTGTGGAACCGTTACGAGTACTGCTGTGCTAGAGAAAGCAGACCACTGGAGCAGTTTGGGGATTTTATAGCCTGGCCTTACTCTCTGTTTCGCTCTGCTTCCTCTCTGTGAATCAAGTATGATCAGCCAGCTTCCTGTCAGTCCAGACTCATGCTCCTGCATCCATGTCTTCCCCACCATGAAGGAAGATCATAGCTATCCTCTCTAAAACTCTAAACCAAAACGTACCATTTCATCCCTAAGTTGCTTTCTGTCACGGTATTTAATACAACAACATAAAAATAACTAATGCGCTTGCAAAAATGCTAGGATGGAAGGAAACAAGCTGATTTTCAGTTCTTCACCTTTCAGATCATAAGGGTTAGGGTCCCGCCCTTCCCAACAAAGCCTTCCCAGATTAAGATATATATTGAGTTTCAAATAATTTATCTGTCTATTGATTATGATGAACTGTTCTTTATATAATCCTGTTATGGCTATTTTCAGGATAGCCATATCAAATTGCTCTCTAATGTGTCTGAAAGACTGATTTATTTGATGAATAACATTACTGAAAACTTGACAGGGCTCAGTTGCAAGCACTTCTGAGTTTGACTGACATGCTTACAAATTATTTTTCTGCTTGTTCTTTTTGTTTTTTCAGTCAAAACTGAGCAAAGGTATACTAATATTAACAGTCAGAGACAAGACAACGCCTGGCAACCGTCTGCCCAGCCTTACCTGTTGGGCTTATATTTGTTGTCCTCTTCCTCATCAGTGTCACTGCGGATAGTGATGACGCTCACAGGAGGACTGGGGGTGTCTGGAATGATGATTGGCTGGTGCTGATCTTGGACAGGGACGAGAGAATTGTAAGAAGATGTGGTACGCAGCGGACTGCTGCCAACCAGAGAATAAACTTGGGAAGGCAGAACTTCCAGAGAGGATCTGTAGGGAAAGTTCACAAGTTCAGATTATTTGGTCCTTGCCCCTACCCTCCCAACTGTGCATCTTTTCCTTTGACTTTCTAACTGCTTTCTGGTTCTTTTTTACCTAATCATTACGATAACACATTTAGTTATAAAAGTTCTAATGAAAAATTAATGATTCTGGCTAGTGCTTCCAAAGATAAGAACAGCAAAATATAAAAGAATTTACATTTTTATGCACCTTTGTCTCCAGGTTAAGGTGCTCAGCAAGCCTGATGACCTGAGCTCAACTGCAGGAGCTGATAGGTAGGAGAGAACTGCCTCCTGCACACTGTCCTCTAACCTACAGACACCTGCCAAGGCATGTGCACTGCACTCACGAGCACACACCCCACGTCACACCATACAAACAAGGAAAGTAACAAAAAATGAAAACAATGTAAAGGGGCCCGGGTTCAAAGTGACAGCGGAGATGAAGGAGGAGCACATTGAGGATGCACCTGCCCAGACGAGGAGGTCAGTTTAAGTTCAATCTGGCAAGCACTTGCTTCATACCCAAAATACCTACACTGTAACACCCTGAATGCTGGACAATGTAACTCTCAAAGTCTTAACCACAAGCTGTAACACAGACTTACTTGGATGAGACTGGAGCAGATTGCTTATTCTTCTTTGAAGGGAGGGAACTAGATTGTTGTTGTCTGACAACATGGGCAACACCAACATTCAGAGGCTGAGCAGTGGCCAGCGTTACATGGTTAGTTAGCAAAGAAGGCTGCTGCATGATAGTGCTGTACTGGTTGCCATGAGAGTGGGCATTCCTGTACCAACATAAAGAAACAGAAGAGTGACTCTCCAAACCTCTGAAGTTCAGGAGCGAACTGCTATTAGAGATGAAGAGATTAAGCACAGCTGTGTTTTACTTTTACGACCAGTCACTGGGATTTTAAGGCTTTAAGATCTCACTATGTTCTCTCTAATCACTTAAGGCTTTGTTTAAATGGGAAGTAAATGATTCCTGACCACAGAGCCTGCATTTTCATATATTCCAAATTTCCTTATGACTCCTTTTCTAGACTAATGAGTCTTTTTCTCAAAGGATTTCAAATATAAAATTTTCCCTAATTTTCTTTCCAGTCTCTTCACATCACAGGCTCCTACCCGTACACATTTCCCAGAGAAAGAGAGAGTGCTACCTCCAGTCTGCTAGCTGCTGGCTGCTCCCCATGGCCTCTGGAATCACTGCTGTAGGCTGGACAGAGTTATGTAGAGCCACCCCGGGCAACTGCTGCCAAGTTGAAGGTAGGAGAATTTGTTGTGTTCCTCCAGGCCAGGCTTGCTGCAAGGAAACACATAGAAAGGTCCAGACTTGACTCATTCTTAGCTTTTGATTTTGGTTTTCAGATGAAAGAAAAATATATATCTTAAAAAAAGTTTGTAGACTGTTAACTTGCAGAGATAAGAGAAAAAAAGAAAGACAGTACAGAGGGCTTACTCATAGCTGCAAGAGTTGTGGGAAGAGAAGAAGCAAACTGCTCTCCTTTGGCTGTCACCATAACCTGACCAGCAGGGCACTAAGAAACAAGGGTCCCTGCAATATGAGTCTCTGTGTGTCGAGAAAAGGAAGCTGAAGGTTCAGGTATACCCTGGTGAATAAAAGCCTCTAAAATACATCCTTTAGAAAGAGTTAAGAGGACTCTCTTGAGATAGAAAAATAAAAATTCCAAAACTTGAAGGCCAATCAGATAAGACACCAGATCAATTCAACCCTTAAAATATAGGGGAGAGTTGCTCCCTTTATTAGAAGGGTAGAAAACGCAGCAGACATGGATGACAAATACCAAATCCCTTGGTAAATAAACTTCTGCCGGCAAAAGAGCTAACAACATTATTTATAGTCATGTGATAGAATTAAAAATTAAGTCAATGAGCAAATACTTTTCAAAATAATTTTTAAAGCACCACATTATTCTTAAAAGTTGTCAAAAATTTCTGGAAAAATATATAAAAGATTTGGAAGTTTCTTTTTTAAACCTGAGTTCAGTAGTTCAATTACCTACTAGGGTACATATGGTTCTATTTCATGAATTTCAAATTGAAAGGCTATCAAAACAGTTTTAAAAATATTTCTGCAAGTAACAGATCCACCTGTTACAAATACTGGTTCCAAACAAGAAGCCCTCTGAGCAGAGAAACTGCAACACGTCTGCTACCATACGTAGAATTTAGAACGAAACAGAACAGAACAGAAAACAAGAGAAGATGTTAAGTCACACCATGCGTCTTTCCATAAGCCAACACCTGCACAAGACAAAGCATGTAGTTTAATACAAAGCAAGAAATAACATTCCAATGTGAGGCAGAAATCGGGCGTTCCAAGCGACGAACTGTTTTGACAGAGGAAAAACAAAAAATATGCAAAGCTTAACAAATGGCTAGAGCAAACTTAAAGAGAGCAGCGAAGGTGAGGGGTCAACTGACATTTCCAGTCTCACAACTACAGGTATGCAAGTTTAAAATGTGGACCAACTACGTTGGAATTATATCTGACTCCCTAGCATTTGGGTTCTATGCGTATGAGAAACAATTCACAGGTGAAGAAATTTAAATCCACTGTGAAAGTAAGAAATACAAGGAATTCAGTAGTATCATTTGGCTTGGAGAGGCTTACCTAATTGTACATTTCAAATAATGAAATGCTGGATTTAAAATAAACAATTCTAACTTGCCCAAATAAACCAAACCAAACACATCCAAACTCACTCTGAAGGTTACAAATCCTGAAGTACACTTCAAAGCAAGCCATATTTGTTTTTCCCAGCTCTGCGCTGGAAACTGCAGCTATCAGCACTGACTTCTCCCTCAAGACTTCTAATAACAAAGATACTGTATTTGCAAGTTTGTCAGCCATATTTCCTTCTTTGTATTAGAATTTATTTGTAAAATATTTTCTCAAAAACATTCCTACAAATAAGTTCATCTTTAATTTCGACCAACAATATAATCTAAGTGTATTTTAAAGGGAATATCTTTAAATGGAAGATAAAAGGTACCACCGATCATGAATGCCAAAACTACTATCTTCAATCACAGACAGAAGTTGGTATTAATGATAAAGCAATACCTTAAGACCATTTTAAACATTTCCATATATATATATATATATATATACACAGAAGTTTTACAAGATGAAGATAACAAAAGGGGGGCAGCTAGCTTGGTAGGGAGTTCAAAGTTTGGCATCTGGATACCTGTGGCAGGGCCAAATGGAAGGCCATGTTCTTCAATCTCAAGGGCCAAGGATAAGAAAGGCAGAAAGGTGAGAGTATTAAAGCTCTCCTGAGGCTACACAGAGAGCTTTAACCACACTAGGCTGATCCTCAGAGTCAAACAGTGCTTCAGCAAATGTTGGGGAGGAAGTAATGAGACATTAAAGATGTAGCAAGAACACAGCCACAAGATGGCACATGCTTCCATGCCCTCTGCAAAGACTAAGCTAGTTTGTTTGTTTGTTTCTTTGTTTAAATGAGAAAACCAGAACAGAACAAAACAAATAGGAAAAAAAATAAAAAAGAAAGAAACCAAAGAAACTCCGTTAGTAACACAATCAAGTGAGGGGAATTACCAGTACAGCAGCAGTCTGTTCAACCAGCGCCGGCCGGCCGGCTGCGCAGCTCAGGGTAAAGGGCACCGCATACTGCGGTGTGATGGTGGCTACTTGAGGGTGGAGAGTTGCTACCATTAGTGGTGTACAGCTTCCCTGAAATGTAGATTAGGCAGGTGAGTGAAATCAGCACCAAGGCAGGTTATCTGGGTTCAGAAGGGTTCTCACTCCCCCCAAGTTATTACTGACAATGAACTAATTTCATGGCACCTAAAACACACACCAAACACAACTTTTCCCTTTCAGCTGTGAATGGCTTTGGCCCACTATGTCAAGTCAATGGTATCAGGCAAAAAAAGTATAGGACTCTTTGTTGGACCAGATTCAGAGCATCCATTCTATAAAACATAGGCATTTCATTTATGAAGAAATTTTCCTCCTACTCACACAATAAGTTTGGGATTTCAGAATTTCTTGTATATCACAGGCCACAAACACTAACATATAGAATTCAAAGTATAATGTTGTATACCATACAAAACCTTCATGATTTTGTCTATGACCTTAGTTTCTCAATCATCTGGAAAAATAACATTTTAAAGTTTTTCTACTAAACACATAAAATGAAGGATTATAGTTGAAGAAGTAGCATGGTGTGACCTAGCCTTAACTCTTAGAAAACTCCAAGACTAAACAAAAAAGGACACCAAAGGGCAAGGATGAAACCCTAAATTTACAGCAAAAAAAAAAAAAAAAAAAAAAAATGCATGTGTACTACCTTAACCATTTCTCGAGGTCTAAAATGTCACCTCTGTAAGTCTAAGGAGGTAATAGAAGAGCCACGAAAGACAGGAATAAGTAATCTGTTCTATTATAGATGTTTCATTTTAAAACCTCTGAATCATGTGCAAGAAGGATTTTATACTCAAAGCAAATTTTTTTTTTTCAGGATAAAATATCTGATTCTCAATAGTGCTTCAGCAATATTGAGCATGTTGTTCTGGCTTTTACCTGAGTAAGTACTCCTGACTGTATCTGTAGTGGCTGAGCAGCAGGCGCCTGGGGTACAATTGGCACAGCATTATCCATCCTCACAGGGAATCCAGAATGTTTTGTTGTTGCTTGCAGTCCAGCTGGTAGGAAAAACATCATATTTAGGTTGCTTCACTGGGTCTAAGAATACTGTGCGTGGGTTGTCATGGGGGGGGTACTTCTAGCTTTATTCTATTGCTCAGGTTTTCACTCTAGACACTTAAGACAAAGCCCTTCATTCACAGAAATCATTAAAAAAAGGAGGCTCTATTCCCTTCAGGTTAACTTAGTGCAAAGGCATTTCATATAGGGAAGGTGGCTTAAGGGAATGTAAAGTCTTAATGTCACAAAATGATTACATCCCTATTATCAGTACAGGCAAAAGCCAAACAATCTCCACTCTAAGTCACATTTATCTCTCAGTCACTAGGGAAGTGGGTGAGGAAGAAAGTGCTTTTCAGACTGTAATCTATCAAAAACAGATAACTGAACATAACTCTAACTCAGTAATTTATAACCCATTACCTTCTTGTGTAGAATGACTTAAAGAATCTTTTCTTACTCAAAAAAATACAACCTAGTTCAAAAATCAGTCACATGTTGTATCTAAAGATAAGAGTAGAGTCAACAGAAAATGAAGAAATTATACAAAAATAACAGGCATGTTAGCTTATAGAAATCTACTTCTTATTCTAGAAACGTGTTCTTGTTGGCAGCTTCCTCATCTGACTCTTTTACAGTTCAGGGGCAGCTGGGAAAATGAACCTACTGCTGGAAAACACTCCCTGTGTCTTACTTATCTCAACTTACTATGCTGGCACAAATATCAAATGGCTCCTATAAATGGCAATGTCTTGAGCTGAGGGAAAGGGCCAACACGGTTCTTTCTGTGGAGACTAAAGAGCCCAGAGATCTCTTATGCCCTACCCTCCTCCTATCAGCACTCTCACTACAGACTCTGAGTTTCTGTCATGCCTCCTGTCTACTAATACATGCAGTCTGCTAAGTGAAGACATAAACATTTCAATTAGAAGATGCTAAAACTATTACCAATCTTAATCTCTCTCCGCATTTTTGTCCACTCCTACTCAGCAATGTCTTCTTATGCAGCCCTGACTAGCTACAACTCTATGATCTTACTATTTCAATCTTCCAAATGTTGGGATTACAGTTGTGTGCCACTATCCCTGGCCTTACTGTTGCTTTAACTTTACTATAGAAGTGTCAAGTGAGCATAATTTATAGAACATAATAATGCTATTTTCAGTCAGTCTTCTAATTTTCTGTGTGAGTAATTTGTGAGGAATTTAGTAACAAATGTTGACTAAGAAAAAAGCATTCTAGGAATGTTAAGAGGGGGACTAGTAAAAGCAGATTTAAAACTGCTGAAAAAAATGCTTTCTTAAAAAAATGCTACTTATATAGAAACAACTAATAACGATATTAAAATTTAAAAGTTGTCAGCCATGCTGCCTTATGCATTCATTATCTAACAGGAAAGCTAAGCCATGCAAAACTCTAGTGCATGACCAACACCAGGCAGTGCTGTAAGAGCTTCCCAAACATGAAAGGACTGAGGCAAACTTTGGGAGGAGATGCTCACTACAGTAGCTCATCTATGGCTCCAGAGAGATAAAGTGAAGGAAAAATTACAGACTAGTTACTACTGGGCAAAATATGACCACTTGTCAACTGTAACAGTACGGGAAGTAATTTACAGTACTGAGCTATAAATGCTTGACTGCTGCACTTCCACTGAGGCCATTTTGAAAGAGAGAGAAATGTGAGCAACCTCAAGTAGAGGACTGCTGGGTAGAAACCAGCACAGAGCAGAAGCTGGTAAGCCAACCAACAACTATCTGGCAGTATGGAATATTTCAATGCCTATGTGACAGACCCCACTGCCTAGGTTTCAAACTGTCAATCATAAATGACTAGAACACTTTGGTCATAAGGTTTCATCATTTATATATCGGGGTGATATTACCCATCTCCTAGAGCCAAATATACATAAGGATAAACTGATAACTGTAGGACTGCTTGGCATATGTAATGGTGTATTTCAGGTATCACCATCACTACCTTATTTGTAAGCTCCCTCTGGTCCAAACATTTAAAATCTGCTCTATTTTATAGTTTCCTTAAGTTATCTAGAGTTTTAGACAGAATTTTTCCCCTAAAGCTTATATTTATCAAATTATACCAAAAGGAGTTCCCCCACACTCCCCCTCTATTGCTTTAGCTTACATCTTATTCTATTAAAAAGAAACACTCAAGAGTTCTTTTATCTAAGAATCATCTGAGAAGCAGCAGAGGATCTCAGAATCTCATATTTGAGTGCTATTCCCGCAGAATTTACTTTGGAAAGGGTGGGAGAAGGGGTGGCTAATTTGCTAAGTTCTATAGAAGCATCAGTTTGTGAAAGCCCAAAGTATAGAATTACTCCTATAAGGTACATATAGAAAATAATTTGGTAAGTTAGGCTAAATTTGCATTTACGGATTGTGAATCTGCTCCTCCGCTCTCCCTGCGGTCTCTCCCTGGTTTACATCGCTATCGCTCTCCTGGCCTCCCGGTAAGCTCTCAGTCTCCCCCAGCCCCTCATTTCCTTCCGCTTGCTCCGACTCTGTCAGAAACCAAACAAACAAAAGTCACAATCAATATTTAACCGAAGTAAAAAGATAAAAATGCTACCTGCTTCTATATAAAAAGCTCTGTGAAGTCTAGATCCTAGTTCATTCCCACAGTGATACCAAGTTTTTCTTTCTCTTTTTTTCAAACTTAGTGTTTTAGGCTTGCATACGTGTACAGCATCCTCACATACGCGCCATGGTGTTTTAGGCTTGCATACATGTGTACAGCATCCTCATACACACACCATGGTGCTTTTCTCTTGCTTGTCCCCTCCATGGTCCTGCTCCTCCCCACTCCCCCTGCAGGTGGTTCTCTTTATTCTCCCAGCTAGTTTCCCTTCTGCTTTCCAATTACATGTACTCCATTACCCTTCTTTATTTCCCACCTCCTCTAAGATCTCTTCTCCCCACCACCATCCTCTTTCTGATTTCAAGACCTACAAACACATGTATAAATACACTTACATGGAGAGAAGTGGGGTGAGGACAGGGCAGGGTATGTGTTAAACCCAGGGTCCACACATAAGAGAATGTGGTGTTTGTTGTGAGTCTAGCTTATTTATTATTTTTACTTTTACTTTTTTTTTTTTTGGAAGATGCCATCTTATTATACTGCCTGAATGGCTCCACAATCTTCCTGTCAGAATTAGAAGTGTGAGCCACTACACTGGTCTGACAGACTTTTAAGGGAAAGCCAAGTGTGTTGTTACAAAAGACTCAAAATAATTTAGCCTTCCAAATAGCTTACCAAAACAATCAACACACATTTCCCATATTTTAGGGAGGGGGTGGGAAAGAATTAAGCAGACTGGATTAGAAAATAATAATGAAAACAATAAGAAAGCATGGGAATGTGAATATTAATTTTTTGGAATGGGAGTCTGAAGACTATGAGTCAGGCTGAAGCAGATGTCTTAATGCCTTCCCCACAAGAACTTCAGCTTGCTTGCAGAATTTCACTTCAAAAACAACGGTCTATATTACTGAATAAATTTTATAGTTTCTATATTCTTAACTGTTTATATCCTATAATAAAATAACATTTTATTTTAGTTTAAAATAGAATGAAGTTAGATTCAATACATAACAATTCTGATTTCGGTAATTTAAAGATGTACATATTCTACATACTGAGACATATATATGCTTCTACAAGATAAATGGTATTATTCTGCTTCAGTGGCACAAACACATTATGAGGGAATTAAGTTAAGGAAGCATAAACTGAGCTCCTCTAATCCATTAGGGAATATTATTAGAGAAAAATCAACGTAAAGGGAAAATTACTTTGTTACAGCTCCCAATTCCAGCTGTCTTCATCATCAGAGTTTAAACTTGTCAAAAAGCAGAACTAAACAACTAGACCTGCCTACAGTGGGAAAGTCCAAAGTCCTACTTAGTAAGAACAGGAGTGAGTTTCCACACTTACTCTGGAAAGCAGGTGGACACACTATAAAAGTTTGTTGGAACGGATCTGTCTGAGTACAGATCTGGGTGGTTCCAGGTTGTAAAGAAACACCTTGCTGGGCAACTCCAGGAACTGGTGCAGCAGACGATGGGTACAAAGCTGACTGGTAGTTTAGCAGTGAGACATCTGAATTAGCCAGAGAAAGGGTAGCAGCTGCTGCAGTAGAACTGGAAGCTAGAACACTGGCCTAAAAAAAAAAAAATATATACATTCATCAGTATAAGATAGAGATAAACAATATTCATTTCTTCTTCTTCTTTTTTTTTTTTTTTAAGAAAAAAAAACTTTAGAGGCTGGGTCTCAGGTAGCCCAGGCTGGCACCAAACTCTTTATGCATTCAAGAGTGGCATATGAACTGAGTGTGGGACTTCTAGGCATGTCCCACCAGACTTGCTTATGCAATGTTGGGGATATAACACAGGGGCTTTATGCATATTGACAAGCACTCTGACAACTGCGCTATATCCCTAGCCTCAAAAAAGAAACTTGGAACAAAGGATCTGTTTGTTTATTTTATATTTTTGTTCTTTGAGACAAGGTCTCCCTGTGTAGTCCTGGATGGCCTGAAACTCACAAAGGCCTATCTACCTTTAACTGGGATTAAAGGTGTGCACCACTATATTCAGTGTTTTTGTTTTGTTTTAATTTATGTATTGCACCACATGCAAGCAAAGTCAGAGGACAATTTGAGGGAGACTTGGAGCTCTTCTACTATATGAGTTCTGGGGATCAAACTCAGGGTTTCAAACTTGGCAGTAAGCACCCTTACTCATGATAGAGTAATCTTGCTAGCCCAGAACAAAACTTTAGCTATCTTTGAAATAACTCTCAGACGGGCAGTGGTGGTGCATGCCTTTAATCCCAGTACTTGGGCAGCAGAGGCAGGCTCATCTCTCCTCGAGGCCAGCCTGCTCTATAAGAGCTACTTCCAGGACAGGTTCCAAAGCTACAGAGAAACCCTATCTCAAAATAAATGGAAGAAGGAAGGAAGGAAGGCTACTTAAAAAGATTTCCAGGCCTGGGAATACACAGGTCAGTAATAAGCACTTGCCTAGCAAACAAGAGGTCTGAGTTTCGAGCTCCAGAACAAAATCAGATAACAATAAAGAAATACTACAAAGGTGAGTAAGCACAAAGAGGGGCAAGTGGTTACTCTTAGGTGCTGGACTGGTTTTAACTATATAAAACTCAGCTCCTTCTGCACAAAATTTGCTTCATAGGAATTCTACTAAAATTCATAAGCTTTTCTATTTAAAAAGTAGACCAAACTAAGAAATGGAGAAACTTTCGTCTTTACAAACAACAAAAGACTAAGTATTCATCGGCAAGCAAATACAATACCACCCTTTTAAGATTATTGTTCAAAGAACCCTTGAAAAAAATAAACTATTGGAAAGAGTGGGTTATCTGATTAAACTTAGTAAAACTAGCAGCAACAATTAACTCAATATTCAGAGCCCATACATGCAAAGACTTGAGGGTACGAGGTAAGCCTAGTTAAATACTATCAGCCCGTGACTGACAAGGAAGGCAGTCTAGTTGGATGTTTGTTACATTTGCCAAGTAGAAATTTCTTTTTTCTTCTTTAATAGAGGAGACTGAATCTCAGAACTGACCTTCATTATTATTGAATGTGTAAGTGCATAGTAATACTTGTGAGTGTGGGTATGTGTATTCCACAGTCTGAGGAAACTTTGGGAAATCAGTTTTCTCCTTCAACTGTGAATTCTCATGATGAAACAGAGGTCACAGGCTTGCAAGAAAGTACTTTTACCTGCTGAGCCACCTTGCTCAGGCCCTCAAATAGAAAATGCTTAAGAAGTAACAAAACAACAAAAACAAAAACACAAAAAAACCCAAAAAACAAACAAACAAACAAAAAACAACCCAAGGACTGGACTCTTTGCCTTACTGCCTTCTGCCCTATTTCGGCTTGAGCTCCCCAATAATTCCCTGAGTACCTGATTGTGCACTGTGTTGAGCTGGTTGCTGAAGCTCATGGTTAGATTTGTGCTTGTATTTGGAGCAACATGTGTAGTGAAGGGACTCTTGATCTGACTCACTGTGTCATACATGTGAACCCTCCGCTTGCAGATCTCCATGTTCTGGAAACAAGACTTAACACTGAAAAAGATTAAAAGATGATTGAATGAATGCTGAAATTTAAATAACAAAAAACTCAAGACAAACATGGAACAAAGTATTTTTTACAAATATTTTCAAGAAAAAAAAAGGCTTTTTATGGTAACAAGAAGAAAAATAAAGACTTTTCTTTAAGCCACACAACTTTTCAGTATGAAAGAAAAGCATCAGTGAACCAAATACACAGGCCAAAGTTACAGCCAACTTGATAGCTCCCTATATGGAATGGGAGTTAAACCAAGAGCCACATCATGGTAAAAGTCCCCAGATGGTACCATACTCACTGGTTACTGTGTGGAAAATCCAGAAGGTGAGTCATTGTCACAAACTGATGGTTAAGAGTCTTCAGAGGGGTGATTCTCTTATCTGCATCAATTGTCAGCATCTTCTTTAAGAGATCAATGTATTCTCTCCGATCTGCCTTCTCTGCCAACATGTCTGTTCCCTCTAAGTCCGTAGACATATTTACCTTCCAAAGAAAATTAGAAACATATTCCTTCACTTAAGTTTAATAGTAGATTAAAGATTTACTGTGTCTGCTTTTCTCTCCAAAACAGAGAAAACAGATATTTAATACTAGCATTTCAGAAAAGAAAAACCCGGGGAAATGAAGTTTGATTACAGAATAATAATTTCCACAGGCAGAAACGCCTCTGTGTGTGTGGTACAACAGAGCTGAACTAATTCATGGCATTAAAATTTCATAATAGGTTAAGCAAAAAATTATTGAAATATACAAGTTTCTATCATTGAAAAGATTAAATGGCACAGTACAAAGTGTGTAAATTTGGAACATAATAAGCATTTTCAGTAAATGTGAGATCTTATGCAATTTTTAATTTGGTAGAGAAATGGGACAAGAAAGAAACCTTTATAAATATTACTCTAAAATAATGGCATGAAACAAGACCCAGTGAGCAAAAGCAAGGGAGAAACAGACACAGGCTGACAATGCTTGGGCCTATTTTAGAGCCTTAAGATTTTGGAATATTGATAGCCAGTGGTGCATGCCTTTACTCTGAGCACTCGGGAGGCAGAGGCAGATAAATCTCTGTAAATTTGAAGCCAGCCTGGTCTACAGAGCAAGTTCCAGGACAGCCAGGACTTTTACACAGAGAAACCCTGTCTTAAAAACCAAAAAGATTTGGAATACTTGCACAGACTTTACTAGTTGAACAGCCCTGACAGCAAAACCACAACTGAAATCCAAAATCTGGACAATTTTAATATCACTTGGTGCACACAAAGAGCTTCAGATCTGAGAATATTGTTTTAGTTTGGTGTATTTGGGCTATAGAAGCTCAATCAAGTATCTTTAGAGTATGCACTACTAGGATTCAAATGTTCATTTAACACGTAGCAAAATGTTAGCATGTATAATCCTCAGACATGTGTCTCTGACTGAAACACCACACCAACCCTGTCCACTTACCTGAGCCATGTCATCTAAGCAGTTAAAAATGTACTTTCGGGCTTCTTTTGACTTTATTCCAGTCTCCAATTCATGTTCTTCAGGTGTCTATAAAACACAAATTTTTTAAAAACTACATTATTTTCATATTTTTATTTTAATCTGAAGGCAGAATACAAAGAGATTGTACTGTTGCCTTGTCAACTATAGATGGCAAAGGTAGAACCTGAGAATCCTGCAGTGGAGAGACGCCACCTTACTAAGGGGAGTCCTTTCAACAGTGAGAAACAGGCATGGCGGCAGTGATGCCACACAGTGTTTACGGTCAGGTGAATGGGATGTAACCATTTCCTCTCACAGATTCTTGGACATGGACACAGACCCCAATACTGTTTAACAGGCTCAGAGGCAGAGTGTCAGGAGGTTAATTGATTTCTCACACTGAAGGAGAAAGCTCAGTATTAAAAGCAGACTCTTATTTCAGGAAAATCTCTCAGGCCTGAATGTGAACAGTTAGAAAACAAGGTTGTCTTCCTGTGCTGGTGAGATTTCCCCATAACAGTCACTATGTTTCTCTAGCTCCCACACTTACTGAGCATGATTCTCTGCACTCCCCTCAACTGCTGGTCCTAAATATGCAACACAATCTCAACCAGCTGAACCGGCTCATTATCTTGATTTTTACACACGTATAAGGCATAATAGATAAAATAACATCATTTTCCAAAGGGGTTTCTCCTACAAATATACCCCCTTCCCACATTTTCCTTCTTCTAAGTCAAGAAATTATTAACTAAAACCTAATTTTAAAGTTGTAAGGAAGACACACCTTTAGCCTCCACAGTGGGTACCCCAAATTAGGATCTCTGTTGAAGAACCTGGTTGTTTTGGTTCCAGCACTGAGAAGATATTCAGCTGGCAGGCCTTGTGTTTGTGAAATATAACGAATCTGGAAAAATCAAAATCATCAAACGTCAATTTCAAGTGGAAAAATATATCAAAAGCTTTTATACTGAGATCCACTCTAGCCAGAGCAGCCAGTGTTCCTAACCTCTGGGCCGCCCCTCAGCGCTAGATTTTGATATTTGTATACCAATGTTCACAGAAGCATTATTCACGATAGGCAAAAAAAAGTCACCATGTATATTGCTACTAACAGATAAACAAAAGGTGGTTTATACACAATGGAACATCATTTAGCCATAAAAGTGATGTTCTGATACAAGTAAAATAAGTCTATCACAGAGCGCCACACTTTCTGTGAATATTATGACATGCCAAAGAGGGCAAATTTACATAGAGAAAAAATATCTTAGTATTTGTGTAGAGGTAAGAGGAACTGAGGAGTTTGGAGGGAAACAGGCATTGATACTAGGTGTTATAGAAGGTTCTAAAATTGCTAACTATTGTACATTCCTGTAAACATACTAAAAACCCATCAATCTGTACACTTCAAATGGTTGATATGTATAGTATGTGAATTCTAACTCTATAAAGTTACTTTTATAAAAACAAAACATAACAACAACAACAAAAAAACCTTAGCTAGACCCTATGGCATGAATCCTTTTTTATTACCCAGATGCACCAAGATAAACTAGCCCCAGTCCTGCTCCCAGTAGCATCCTATCTGCTCAGCACAGGCAAACCACTTCTCCTATCACCCATCAACATATTACACACACATTTCCAAAAGGACCATATCCTTTTTCTTTACAAGGAATGCTCTGATAGCTATCTCAGCTTCTAAAGTCAATTGTACTTGCTTCCACTTCCTAGGAAATTTACACTGATCTGCTGCTAAGCTAGAACCAGTGCAACTGAATAGCTGGACTAAGAACTGCATTCCTGGAGGCTGTGATTGGTTGGAGCAGGATCCATGAGTCCCCTCAAGTTTTATAAAGACAATGTGTGTGTGCTGTCCGTGTACTACTACGTGTACCACGCCTGTAGCATAACACCTGTACTACAGGACCATTTGCAGCTGGAGGTTTAAATACATATGAAACAAGAATGCCAAGAATGCCCCCTTTATTGTGTTCCAGGCAGCTTATATAAGGATCCTTAACGGACAGCTATACCCAACCCAAACCACCAGAAACCACTCCCCTGCCATTCCCCTGGAATTCCTGAGGGTCTCGTGCTCAGAGCAGCTGCAAGCAAAATAAGTTGTTTACAAGAAATTCGGGGTCTGGGGGTCCACAGCCCCCAACATGTATATATTTCGGGGGTGGGGAATCTCAGCTTCGTTAGCCTCTCAGAAGGGTCCAGGAAGGACACACACCAGAGGCAGAAGCAGGTAGAGCTCTCTGATTTCAAGGCTAACCTGTTCTACAAAGCTGTTACAAAGAGAAACACTGTCTCGAAAAACCAAAAAGAGGGAATGACAGAATAGATTTGTAAGGGGGAGGATTATAATTCTATTAATAAAAGAACTATTTTAAAAGAATAGATTTATACATATTTTGGTAGGTATCGATAATAGACTATTTGTCCACATCTATATTTTAGATTTACGACACCCTTAATTTTTTTCCAATATTTCTACACTGTGTGGTCTGTTTTTTCAAGTTGTTACAGAAGCACTCTGTGTATGTGTGTGTGGACCTGTGCAGCCTGAGTTTGTGTTGCTCTCCAAGTTCATTCAAACAAGCACTCTTACCTGATCGTACTCTGAAGCACCAGGATAAAGAGGCCATCCCAGGAACAGCTCCGCTATCACACAGCCCAGTGACCACATGTCAATAGCTTCACAGAATGGTAATCCAAGAATAATTTCCGGGGCTCTAGCAAAATACAAAGACATAAGGTAAAATAGCAGACATTAATTGGAGAAATTAACTATGGATGGTGACTAAATCAGCTGCAGTATCAGCAACAAGATTTGAAATGAAAACCATCAGTACATAACTACTCAGTCACAACTTGAATTCAGAAGCTTTAGCCAGGCAGTGGTGGCACATGTCTTTAATCCAGCACTCAGAGACAGGCAGGTCTCTAATCTACAGAGCGAGTTCCAGGATGGTCAGAACAAAACAGAGGAATACCCTCTTGAAAAAAAAATTCAGAAGTTTCGAACTGCAGAAAGGTAATACAAAACATAATCCATGTATCCAACAACCCCAGAGTTCATGATAGTGCCCACAATTGATACATTAGTGATAATACTCTAAGTAAGCATATTAAATTGGCTAAATAAAGACATTAAGCAATCTTGTATTGGTTCAAGACGGGTCCTGATGATAAAGAAGTTTATATTGAACTTAGAGGAAAATGTCTGTTTTGAGAGCTTTTTAAATATTATAATTACAAATAAAAGATCATGAAGATATTCTTCTCTGAGCATCTTAGTTGTTTTACACCTTCATGACAAAAATGACTTCTGAAAAACTGATTATTTGCAGCAGACTCAAGAGCCGACCTGTGGGAGTTTGACCCTCAGGCCCATTACTTAGTAACTATCACCATCTAACGCCAGCTCTGTGCCTTGGGTTTCTGATACACAATGCAGACAGTGGGAGTACCTATCACACAAGGTTGGTACAAAGTTGAAATAAATGAATAAAATCTTGGGTCAGTACTTGGCACATAAAAAGAATATGTAAATGTTAGGAATAAAAATTATTATTATTTCAGCATCATTATTTTGAGTCTTAAAACTCTCCTTTTTTTTTCTTAGAAATTTGACTTTCATTAATGCTTCAAGTCCAATAATCCATAAACTAAGAGTACTCTATAGGCAAACACATCTGAAATGAGATTACTATTCCCACTGATAGAATAGGAAACTGAGACAGGGAGAGACTTGCCTAAAACTACAGTAAGTGATAGAGCAAGGATGGCTCTCAGCGCACCCCCGAATTAAACACACACTAGCTACATCCTCACCTTCATTAACTTATTTGGAATGGTGGCATGCATAAGTGGTCTTTTCTCAAAATATGACTAAAAGACTATATGCAATGGATAAAAGGGTAAAACCAAGCCTGTGGACCTGAGTTCTAACCCCAAAATCCACATGGTAGAAGGAAAGAACCAACCTGAAAAAGACATCCTATGACCTCCATATTTATATTTCCCCCACAAAAAAAAATGAAAAACAAACAAAACACTAAAATCTCAACTCCCAAATATTGAAAAATAAAATTAGGAGAAAATAGATGTAAAAAGACATGATAAAGTTTAAGAGTAGACCTCAGGGGTAGAACATATGCAATGGGTTGATTTGATTCTCAAACAACAAAGGCTGAGCAGTGCAGGACAACAGGAAACATGAATACTAGTGACGATGATAAACGACAGCACATACTACACGCTGTGTACTTCTAAGTCTTCAGAAATGCTGAATCATAAGCATTGCTGCATATCAGCAACTCTTAAGTTGCACATGTTTTCACTTTTTTTTTTTTCAAGTCAGGATTTCTCTGTAGCTTAGAGCCTGTCCTGGAACTTGCTCAGTAGACCAGGCTGGCCTCGAACTCACAGAGATCCACCTGCCCCAGAGTGCTGGGATTAAGGGTGTGTGTCACTACTGCCTGGCTATGTTTTCGTTTTCTAACAAATGAAGATATATCTTAGGTGAGTGGCGATGCTGGTCCTGTCATGTGGCACATAATGCTACATCTTGGAGCCAATCAGAGCATTTTAGGATCGATGAGATAAAACACTATCTTCATCTGACAGATGAAGAAACTGAGAGGTTAATTACTTGTCTGAGGCTACACTACTAAATGATGGCACCTGGGCAGACTGGATCTACAATCTGAACTCTGATACCTTCATCACTTTCTCTAAAAATGTCCTTTCCTTCCAATAAATCTAAGAATTTGGGGTCTGAAAATATATTCATGATACAACTCCCTCATGTAAGAGGAAACAAAAAAGCAGATCCCTCCACGAAGAGCCATCTAACAGGACATGTATCCTCACAGATTGCCTACGTTTTCCAATTTTTTGTTTTAGGTAATACATGATTATTGTTATGCAGTGTATGTGTGTGTTGAGTTGCTTGAGAAAAGATTCATTGGTTATACTGTTGCTGGGTTTTGGCTGTCTGCTGTTTTAGTATTCTGAGACAGGGTCTCATACAGAGGTAGTCCCACTTGGCCTTGAATTCAGGCTGACCTTGAATTTGGGATTCTCCTATCTTGGTCTCCCAAGCCCTAGAACTACAGGCAAGCATCACCATGCCTTTGCCTAGGGTATTTTTCCCCAAAAAAAAAAATAGCTTCTACAGGTAATTAAACATCAACACCCTTAGGAAACAGGTAGGTTATACGACTCCACAGATTCTAAAACATTTTCTGATCCTTACCCTGAAATAGTAGAAAATTTAGGCCTGTTCAGACTCATTCCGCTAGATGGCTAGAGTAGAGCAAATATTACCAGTTTTCGTGCATCTGATAGGAACTCAACCCTCAGTCGTCACACCTGCACTCATACAGTGATCCATCAAGATGACCACTGCAAACCTGAGGCCCCCCTGGTCTACAGGGCAGTTCCAGAAACTGTCTTACAAAAGAAAAAGAAGTAAGAAGGAAGAAAAGTGATGTGTGATGTTGAAAGTAACTGCAGCTGTTTACGACTGACGGAATTCCAAAATTCAATTAAATTCCAACCACTATGGCATGTTCTTAGGAGAATAAAGCTGAGAATAGGAGTACCCAGAAAAAATATAAAAGCTTTTCTAAAATTGAAAAAAAAAAGGGAAAAAAATGTCTTACTTTCAGTGAGCAGCAACATCAATTTCCCAGTTCACGACAGCGCCAGAAATAGCTGGCAGGGAGAGCGCACATGGCTTGGTGCCGAAATAAAAACTGGGCTGAGAACATTCCAAAGCATCAACTGAGAACCCGGAGGTTTTAGCAGCCCTACCTTACAGAAAGACTTTTTTGAAAAGGAAGATCAGGAGGGAATAGTGGGCCAGTCCAGTTTTAAACTTCTTTAAAATAACACAGCTTGAAGTGTCAAAGAAATTAAGGAAAACACCAATTCCAGCCTCATTAAAAAAAAAAAAAAAAAAAAGCAAAACAAAACAGTGAAGGTTGGCTGCAATCTGTTTTCCCTCGGGTCCCCTGGTTCTGGAATGACAAAAGCATCTATCAGCTCTCAGAGAAAATTCACACAAGATAGCAACTCTTCCCTTACACAAAGGCAAGTACTAAAGAAAACTTCATGGATTTAAACTAATGACAAGTAAACAAATAAAAAAGTGGATGGAGGGGCGGAAGGAGGAGGAAGAGGAAAGAAGAAAGGGGGTGAGGAGGTAAGGAGGAAAGAAAAGAAAGCTGCTGTGGGGGCTTCTCCTCACTGGGCCTAAACATATTCATCTTAACCTCTAGTTAGTGAATGACCCCCTTTACCAAACAATGACAGCACCTCTTAATTGAGATTACAATTGTTGAAATTCTCACTGTATTTTCCTCTAGGCCTCCTTTAGACTCTCCAGTCTTAATATAAAGTCTTTGGAGAAGTTGGAGGGGTAGTTCGGTGTAGGGGGCATTTTTAACATGTGTTAGTACTGAATCTGATCCTCAGTACTGGGTAAAGTCTACGGACATGGAAACCCTGGTTCTGCTATGTGTGTAAGAAGGCCAAACCAGGCACACACTGTTACCCTAGCACTTAAGAAACAGAAGCACAAAGACTGAAGGTTCATGGCCAGCCCATGCTACACCTGAAGTGCTGTCCCAAAGTTAAATAAAAGAGGAAGAAAGGAAGGGGAAAAAATGAAGGATGAGTTAGATAATTACTTATCTGGTCTGCTTCCAGTCATGACATTGTAATAAACATAAGGCAATAAAAAGACTACGTACAGGTGTAGGAGAAAGCTAGAGATAACAAACTTGGCAATATTTTGTTTGTTTTGGTTTTTCGAGACATGGTTTCTCTCTGTAGCTTTGGAGCCCCTCCTGGAACTTGCTTTGTAAACCAGGCTGGCTTCGAACTCAGAGATCCGCCTGAAAACACAACTGTTTTTTGTTTTTGTTGCCCCTCCCCATGAAGACTGAACCCAGGGCCTTGCATTCGCTAGGCAGCTGCTCTGCCACTGAGTTACATCACTAACCAACCAAACTCGGCAGTATTTATTTCAATAGGAAAATGCTACTAATTGTGCTTTGAAGTAATGGGTCTCTCTAACAGTGGTTCTCACCCTGTGAGTCTCAACCCCTACAGGATTTGCATGTTGGATATCTGCATAAGAGATATTTATGATTCATAACAGTAGCAAGACTATAGTTATGAAGTAGCAACAACATAATTTTTTTTTAAAAAAAATAAGGTACCGTGGAGGCTGGGAACCGAACTCTTATATTTTTGGTTGTGAGCCTAGCCTTTAATGGCTGAGCCACTTCTCCAGGCTGCAACAACATATAATCTTATGGCTGAGGGTCACTACCACATGAGGAATGGTATTTTTAGTCACAGCAGTAGGACAGAGAGAGCCACTGCCTTAGAGGGTACAGCCCCATCCTTACAGCATAAACACTAAAGGTACTAATTAAAATAGCCAAATGGCAGAAACAGCAGTCCCTGCGCGTTCATTTCCCAATTTTGAAAAGCTCCTCCAAGGTCATAAAGCCCCAGTTCACTGGCACCCACAGCAAGCTGAGTACAAATCATTCTTTGGTTGTTTTCATGAACATTCAGTTTCTTTCTTCCCTTAGCTGAGGCACCAAACCTACTTATTTACCAGATTAGAGATGTTACATAAAGTCCAACTTCCTGCATCTGTGGCTTAGATTGAAACTGTAGTTTCACGGTTACAGGAAATTAGATTGTTTGTGTAGGATAAATTAAGCTATACTTTTCTTCTCTACAGTATCCATCCATAAATAACAAAGTGATCTAAGCTTGAAACAAATGCTGGCTAGTTTGTACAGAAGAGCAAAGCCCTGCAGCTGCAAGTGTCTCAGACCTCTGTCCCTAAAACTCCAGCCCCAGAGACAGCAGCTTTCAAACATTTCCACTGCCTGGATCATTTAGCCATGCCTATGGCTAAGTGTGGCAAATTTCTGCCAAATGGCAATATCTGGGTATGTTTAACATTGGGACAAAGCAATGTAAACTTAAAAGAATGATAAGAAGGTTGGATTTGAAAGCAGCTTCCCCAGCTAAAGGTGGCAACAAAGAGATATGAGGGTGCTCAAGGCCCACTGAGGACAAAACCAGGGATGAGGGAGGGCCGCCTGCACAGCTCTTCTACCTGTTCATGCTTGTTATCAAGTATTACTATGAGACAACACAGCACGCAGGTGAATCCTAGGTCAAGCCACAACCCCTGGATGCCGAGCTGCTTGCAGTGATAGCTGGGAACAGAAAACACTTACTTCCCCTTGAAATTATTCTTAAAACCAACAACCAAATTCATAAGTAGCTTTGTACAATACTTTAAAACTTAGAAAAGTTTATTTTTTGTAAGATCAAAACCAAAAGGAAAAAGTGTACAGATTTAGTAGCCTAATACTAAAAATCAATCACATGGATTGCAAATTAGAAGGCTCGGCAGAATAATCTGTCCCAAAAATCACTTTTAATCTCTAAGTAAAGATCCTATCAAAAATGATTTCATAAAATATCCTGCATCTCCTTTTGTTCTGCCTTTTTGTTTTAAAACTGCCTGGCTATCTCTGAGAGGGCGCACAAACAGTTAATGAACACCTGCACACCAAGGAGCTGGGCTGCAAAGCTCCTGCCTGAGCTGATGGGCTCTCCCCTCCCGGGCTTCAGAGAATGGAAGTGAGGCTGGGAGCTCTTCAGCACACCTGAGCATTCGGTGCCTTTGTACTACATGGGGAAGGGGTGCTCAAAGGGGAGCATCAGAAGCAAATGCAGTTGGAGCCTACATCGCCCAAGTCATAAATAAGTAAACTGAAGTGAAAAATTTCTAAATCCGCCTGGGTTGCCAGGAGCAGAAGGACACTGGAAACCACAGGCCCTACGAGTCCTCTGCCTCATTTCAAGCAAAACATGTCAGAGTTTTATAAAACCATAAAGATTTTTTAAAATGAGGATGGATTAAAAGACTATCATTAAGCTGTCAGTACTGCACTACCCAAAAAAAATTTGCAATGTCAATGTTATTTTCATTAAATCCCATGATTAGAAGGAAAAAACAGAAAAATCTATCCTACAGACCAGGATTCTCTATCTCTCTAATGCTGTGACCTTTAATACGGTTTCTCATGTTGTGCTGACCCCAACCATAAAATTATTTTCACTGCTATTTCACAACTGTAATTTTTCTACTGTTATAAATTTCTGATATGCAAACTATCTGATAAATGACCCCTGTGAAAGGGTCATTCGAATATCCAAGGGGTCGTGCCCCACAGGTTGAGAACCACTGCTTAGACAGACATACAGAGATTAAAAGTATGGGATACAGAAATAAACTCTTAAATATATGGTCGATTAACTTGACTAAGGTGCCAAGACCATACACTGAGGGAACCGACAGTCTTTAGAGCAAAGGACCTTGTGTGAAATAGTCACATGCAAAAGAATTAAATTAGGCATTACTTTAAACAATAAAAATTGAACAAGGGAGTTGGCGGTGGTGGCGCACACCTTTAATCCCAGCACTCGGAAGGCAGAAGCAGGCGGCCTCTGTGAGTTCGAGTCCAGCCTGGTCTACAAGAGCTAGTTCCAGGACAGGTCCCAAAGCTACAGAGAAACCCTGTCTCAAAAAACCTAAAAACACACACACACACACACACACAAAAAAAAAAAAACAAGGGGTGGTAGCCCATGCTTGCAATCCAAGGAGGCTGAGCCAGGAAGGAGACTGCTGAGTTCAAAGCCAGCTTAAGCTACCAAGTGAGCGCCAGGTCAACCAGAGTTATATAGCAAAAACCTTGTACCAAAAATAAATTAACTCAAACTTAAATAGATAAATGTAGAAGCTAAAAGTCTAAGATCTGTAGAAGAAAACAGGAGATAAACTCCACAATGATGGGTTTGTAATTCATGACACCTGAAGAATAAACAAGGGAAAAAGCAGACAAACCAGACTTCATCAAGGGTCAAAAGATTTGTATATCAAATACTAGCAAGAGAGTCAAAAACTATAAAAGGATACAAGATATTTGCAAATCATACCTCTTAATGCCTAGAATATATATTTTTTAATTTCTAAAACGTAACAAAATCAACTGAAAATCTGGGCGGAGGACTCGAATTAAGTATCTCTCCAAAAAAATATAGGTATAAAATAAGGACATGAAAAATGTCAGTATCACTGATTAGGAAAACATAAATCAAAACTACCCGAGATACCACTTTATACCCATAAAGATAGTTACTTTAAAAATATATAGAAAATAACAAGTGTTGGAGGAAACATGGAGAAACTGGAACTTTCCTTCACTGCTGGGAGGAATATAGGAGCACAGCCTCCATGCAAGTTAATAGCTTATTAAAGCTACTCACAAGTCCCTAAGACCTAGCAAGTCTACCCCAAGTCTTCAACTGAAAAGCCTAAAAATATGAATTTAGATGCATGTACAGCAGTGTTCAAAGCAGCATTATTCACAAGAGCTGTAGGTAATAACCACCCAAATGCCTATCAACAAATGGATAAACAAAATGTGGCATATACATACAATGAGACATTTCTCAACATAAGAAGGAATGATATCCTTGCTGGGTGCTACAGAATAGATTAACCTCAAAATCACAAACCATTAAGATCTAGGGATGGAGCTGAAGAGATGACTCTGTGGTTAAGAGTCCTGACTATTCTTCTAGAGGACCTGGATTCAATTCCCAGTTCCTACATGGCAGCTCACACCCATCTGGAACTTCATTGCAGAGGACTGGATCTAGCTTCTGTGGGGACCAGGCACACTCTTGGTACACAGACATACATACTAACAACACCCATACACATAAAATAAATAAAATTCAAAGAAAAAAGATAACAAATCTATTAATCCTAATAGGCTGTGAGTTCAATTCAAGCCTGATCTACACAGCAAGTTCCAGGCCAAACAAGGCTATATAGTAAGACCTTGTCCCCGCCCCGACAAAAATAAAAGACACAAACACACACACACACAAACATACACATGCGCGCGCACGTGTGCCCCTAAGAAAATACACATAAATATATATTTTATAGTTACCTATTTCTGGTGTGGGGAGGCATTAAACTCAGCCTCATGCAGGCTAGGCAAGTCCTGTGTTTGAGCTACATACCCTAGTTCATGCTTCATTTCTTGACTGAATGGTTGTACAATCAATATGCTATTTATGTTATGAAATTAATTATCAGATTCTTAAGATCAATAACTAGGTAAAATAAAGATCTACGAAGTAAGAGCACATTTTTAAAGCCTTGGTTATAAAACACACAAAATTGTGTATACCAACATAAGTACTGTTATAAGAATTTAATATAATAAAAGAGCCTTGTATTAGAAGTACTACTCTAGAAAGAAAAATCACTAACGTACTTAGGTCAGACTATCCTAGGATAACTAAATAAGTTCAAAATATTGTAGAGATGTTCACACAGAAGATAACAGCAATCATCTAATAAGAATAAACTGTGCTAGGTTCAATCTAAAGGTGCTCCCAAGACATTTCCATGCCAAGGTATAAGCTAAAGAAAACCCTGCAGCATCTGCCCAGGTGGAGCATCTTGTACAGTCAGTCCTTCAAGGGGGAAGTCAGGTGTAATGGTAGTCAAGAATGAACCAGATACTAGCACAATTCAGCTAGCAACAACCTTCAGAATGAAATTTGAGCTCACTTTGCTAGTACTAAGTAGGACTTCAGCAAGAAAAGCATGTTACTTATAGGAATGGCACATATACATGTAAGGAGCTAAAACAAACCCTGCTCCCATCTTGGAATCTAGAAATAAGTAGACTCCTGGGTAATATAGTTAGATTTCTATGCTATGCATGTTAAACACAAGGACAGTTCTCCAGGATCTTGCACTTGCCTGTAGTAGCGTGACTGCAGGTAGGTTGAACACACAGCTTTGGAAACGTGACTAGCAGAACCAAAGTCAATGACCTTCACTCGGTAGGGCTGGCGAACTGGATCAACCAGCATTATGTTTTCAGGTTTGAGGTCCGCATGAATCAGACCCAGACTCTTCAGCTTCATCAAGGCTGTGGCCACCTGCTGCAAGATTGGCCTGATGTACTTGAGTGGCAGCGGGCTGAACTTGTTCTGCTTTAGGAAATCATACAAGTTCTGCTCCAACATCTCAAACACAAGGCAGGTGTGATTCTTGTGCTGAAAACACTCGTAAGAACGGACAAAATTATACTCATCAGCATTTTCACTGCTTAGGCGGGAAAGGATGCTCACTTCAATCTGTCCTTGTCTGGCATAGGAGGGGTGGTTCTTCAAGATCTTAATCGCCACAATTTCCTTGGTGCTCCGCTTCCAGCACTTTGCCACCTGTCCAAATGTCCCTCGGCCTAGGAACTCCAAGACTTCATAGCTGTTGGTCATAGAGCAGAGAATCTCATGCTGGACCAGCTGGTAATCCCCTTCTCCGCTAGAACTACTGCTCTTCGTGGTCACAGTGGTGGTCGTGGCAGCAGCACCCACCACAGTTCTGTTTTGCAGCATGAGAGGGGGATGTTCTTCTATGATCTGCACACTACCGTTGCTGTCGACTTCCTCACTTTTTCTTTTCAATCCACATTTTTGATATGGCTCAAGCAAAGAAACGTTGCTCCTGTGAGTCAGGGTCTGGCTGCTTTGGAAGGTTGCCGTAGCGGCACTGCCTGAGCTATCAGCAGCTGTTACCACAATATGCTCCACTGCAGGAGCTGGGAGGAGGAGGCCCTGGTCGTAAGCAGGAATATTGAAATTTGCTACCTGGTGAGAGGAGCTGGCTTGCCCTTGTGTGGCTGGGAGGGTTTTGCTGTGGGTATAATATTTGTCGTTGCTGCTCTGTCCTGAAACATCCCAGCCAGAGGGCTCTATTTTCAGTTTCTTCGCACTGCAGAAGGCACTCGACGACACTGATGGGGGGGAAAACACCTGCAGCTGTGATGCCATACCTACATGGAAAGAACACAAGAATGAGACCACAAGGGTTCGTATTGCAAAGCTTACCACCAGCATATATGAAAACACTTGTAGCTGATAAAAGACTGAAACCGCGCTGTTTCCCGCCTCTCAAAGGCAAATTCAGTCCTAACCGACATTCACAGATACAGGGTCCATAACACACCAAAGCGAAGTCTCACTGACTCCTCTGCACAAGCCCTGGAGAGACTGCCACCGACCAGAAGTCACCCAGGTTGACAAGGCGAAAGAATCTTCTGAAGAGGACTTTCTACAGAAAGCTATCCTTAGACAGGATCAGGAGGTAAAATAGCCCAGTGGGCAAAGACAAGTGCCGGCAATGTGACCTTTCTTCCAAGACGCTCACGGAGGAAGGAGACAGGTGACTCCCACAAGTTGTCCTCTGACCTCCACAGTCTGAATATGACATACACACCAGATACATACATGCACATCGTGCACATGAAATCATGCTGGACTACACAGGGAGATGGAGACAGAATAAGGCAGAGAGAGAAAGGGAGAGGGAGAAAGAGGGGGAAAAATGTAAAGATAAGGGGAGAGGAAATAAGAGTCCGGCCGTCCTGAATATCCCACAGACACCTAAAGTTCAGTAAGCCAAAAGATTAAACCCTCAAAAACCATGTTCTTAAGAATAAAGCCCAAACACTTAGCACAGAACACATGCCACGTCATCTTTATCTGCTCTCTTCTTACCAGCTGGGTCTTCCTTTCAGAGGCCTTGGGGCTCTACAGCAAACTCCTTTCCTAGCTCTGTACTTTCCCTCTTTATAATCCAATATGTCATCTTCAAAATAAAAACAACAACCCTAAAACTTCTATTTCAAATGGAGACCCCCCCTCCTCTCTCTCCTCCTCCTTCCACCCCTCCCACCAAATCTATACATTTGATCCAAGTGCCCACTTGACTATAAGACACCTCAGTTCAACATGTCCAAAATCCAATTTAAGCATCCACTCCACTCTCAATTTCCTATCTCAGTTAGGATATGGCACCAAACAGCCACCGACTCAAGCCAAGAATCAGGGAGCAATGAGCCTCGGCTTCCTCATCTCTATAATGGTAACAGCACAGCCATGTCCGAAGCTCTTCTGAGAATTTGGTATTAACGCAGGGAAAGCGGTGGCTCCTGGCACACTTCATTACCTGCACGCACACCTCTCCCTGTCTTCTCAAACTACTACCTGTCTGATCTGTACCTAACTACAGTTCAAGTCGGCATTCTAGTTCACAGTGTAAACAGCCTCCAAAGAACTGCCTCAAACACACTCAATTCCAAAGAATTGCTTTTATTTGTTGTTGTTTTGGTTTTGAGACAGGACCTTTAGTATCCAATCTACCCTCAAGCTTGCTATGTAGCTGAGGTGGACCTTGAACTTTTACATCTTTGCTTTTAAACAGCAAACTAGATGGATAACTGTTCTCTTTTCTTAATCATCTCTCCTCCTACTCCCCCACCACCACCAAGAAGTTTTCCATTACTTTGGGCATAAAGTTAAAAACTTTCAAAACAGGTCTTGTTGAGAGATGGGAGAATCCACAGGTTGAAGGCCAGCTGAGTTTAAGTCCAGGCTAGATAACTTAGTGAGAGACCCTGCTTCAAAATAAAGTCAAAAAACAACAACCGAGGGGGGGGGGTGGCAGTAGCTAGGGAGATAGCTCGATGGTAGGATGTTATAGCCACAAGTTACTTAACATGTGCAAAGCACTGATATAATCCTCAGTACATGGGGTGGAGAAAAATCTTCACCAAGGAGCTAGCAAGATGGCTCGACCAGTAGGTGTTTGCCATGCAAACATGAGGACCTGAGTTAAGATCCCTTGCACCCACATAAAAGCCAGGCACAGCAGTATGCACCTATAATTCCAACACTGGGGAGATGGAGACAGAATTCCTGAGGCTTGGTGGCCATCCAGTCTAGCTGAATCAGTAAGCTCCAAGTTCAGTGAGAGACCCTGTCTCAAAAAAAAAAAAAAAATGGAGAACAATTGAGAAAGATATGACATTAGCCTGTAGCCTACACACACACATACCCTGTTCCTGCAAACATACTCACATGCCCACAGACTCAAAAGCCTCACCAAAATATTCTCAAAATGTTCTTGCTGACCAGCTTCCCTACTTTGATCCATCTCCTCCTGCCTCTGCCTCCTAGGGGTTGAGAGAGACTACAGGCATATGCTCATCAGTTCCTGTAAGGCTCTCAACATCAGCCCCTAATACAAACCTCTTCCCTCCCTCAGCGAGCACACACGCACACACCCACACACACATCCCTTTGTTCCTTTCATTACGAAGTTGCTGTTCTTCTCCTATAATTTTAAATTATTTACTGCCACATCCCTTCCCACAGTACAAATTCCATAAAACAGGTACCATCTGTTTTCTTCCTCACTTCTATCACCCAGCCCCTTCCAGATTCTGTTTTGCAATACAAACACAACATTTGTTGGAAGAAAGACTTGACCCCTACCAAGTTCATTACCTACAACTCACTAACACTAATACACAAACTGTAGTACTTTCAAATGCTTTGGCTTTGGTTTTGTTTTCTCTACACATCCTTCTCTTTTGTTTGCATGGTTCTTAAGATATGGGTGAAGTCTCCACTCCAACCCTCATAGTACAATTTTACAAGTCACAAGGAAATAAACATACGATTAGAAAGGAAGGAAACATGACAACGGATGTTACAGAACACGAAAAAGCATTGTGTAGGGCTGGAGTGGAGGTCACAGATTGTGTCTGCCTAGAATGCACAGGGCCTTGGATTTGATCCCTGGCACTGATTTAGAGGAAAGAGGGAGGGGAGAAATATGTGCACTTTTTTGTGCCTGATTACAACTTAAAACTATCTGCACTGTAGTCAGCTGCAAAGAAGAAATGTATCTTCAACCTTCAATTTCTAAAATGTGGTTTGGCTTTACTTTAAGCAAGTTTCCATAATTTATATGAACCTCAAGGAGAAAAAAGTACAAATTAAAAGCTAAGGCCAGTGCACTTCAGCTCAGGAGGTCATGAATATACAAAGTATTTTGGCCTACCTACATCACCAATGTAAAACCAAATTAATAAAAGTCTTGGGGCTGGAGAAATGGCTCAGTAGTTAAGAGCACTGACTGCTCTTCAAGAGGACCTGGGTTCAATTCCCAGCACCTACATAGCGGCTTACAACTGCCTCTAACTCGTTCCAGATCTGTCACCTTCACACAGACATACATGCAGGCAAAACACCAATGAACATAAAAATAATAAATCTTTAAAAAAATTCTAAAAGAAAACAAAACTAAATTTGGAGTTCCTTTACAAATTTTGCCTATTAAAATAAATACAAAGTATTACTTGCCATCATAAAATTGAGCCAAACTTAAAAAGAAATGTTTCAAATTTGCTTTCCCTATTGAAATATAAATTTAACAATTCATCCAAAAAACATGGAGCACAATATTTATGTAATTAAAAGTAGTAAAAAAAAAGTTTTATTATAAAATGTACAGTTTGAAGCAATTGTAAAGGACAAGGGGTTGTGGGCCAGTGGTGGCACACTTGTCATATTAGCACTTGAGACGGTAGGAACAGGGGGTCAGAAGCTCAAGGCTAGCCTTAGGGAAGTGTGAGACTAGCCTAGGCTTTATGACCCTACCTCACAAAACCCAAAATCAAAAGACAAGGTCATAAAGTAATATCAGAATTCATGAAATACCCATTTGTTTATTACCTGAGTTTTAAGACAGTTTCTTACTGAGTCCAGACTAGCCTCAAACTTAACTATTTAGTTGAAGATGATCTTGAACCCCTCCTTCCTCCTCCCTCTCTCTTCTGAGGCGTGCACCACCACTCTTGGCCACTGTTTTTTTGTTTTTGTTTTTTGGGTTTTTTTTTTTTTTGTAGCATTCATTACCAGATAGTCTTTTAAAACACTACATTTGCCAGAGTGATGTTATTGACAACTTTTGACCCTATAACAAAATAACAAATACTAATGACTTCAAATTTTCACTCAACGTTACTTGACCCCACCCCCCAAAAAAAGAGAGGAAAGAGAACATGTCCTAGGACATTTTGAATATAACATACTCAGAAAAACAAACCTAGTCCATGCAAGGGGAAAAAACAAGCAGGATTTCACTAGCCTTTCTCACACGTACATATTTTAGCACCAGGATTCTTCATATGGCTGACACTCACTCAGACCTCAGTAACAAGGTGAGAAGATAACACAGAATCAAAGTGGCCTAGAAAAACTAACACTGTTATTTATAAATCCACTCTGAAATAAGGCTTTAAAAGGCCATTTCTAGACACAGATACTGTCCTACAAATCTGCCTTTGCAAATGGGGATCAATCATTTTTCTAGGCAAGACTTGTCAAACAAAAATATGGGGCAGAATTAATGACTGTATTTTACTGTATATAATGCTCTGTTAAAGAAATCACAAATCTTTTCAATATAAATGAAGATAAATCAAATATTTTTGACTTCCTGAAGCATTTCACCTCTTGGCTCCAGCAATGAACAAAGTTTTTTATTTCAAAATTCACTTTCCAAAGACTTAACTAACGTGACACAATTTGCTCCCCTCAATAATTTCAAACTAGAACTAATAGGCAAAGGCTGTTTAGTACTTGTATCTACTACTCAAGAGAACGGTGCCTTGCTGGAATGAAAGGCTTTCAAACATGCTCTTTAAGAGCATCTCTACTCCCTGGCATGTACTGCACACTGCTTTCACCACAGGCAGGTGACCCTGCAGCAACTAAAACATAACACTGCATGGAATGGTTGGGGACCACAGGCAAGATAATCATTTTCAAAGTTTTTGTCTCACTGTGTAGCCCTTGTTGTCCTGAGACTTGCTCTGTAGACCAAACTAGTTTCAGAGATCCCCCTGCCTCTGCTTCCCAAGTGCTGGGATTAGAGGCGTACATAACTTCCATTTTCCCCCAATGTACCTATAACAAATTCGGG